GCTGGGAAAGTGATTCACTATGGGGGAGGATTCTTTCCCCTAGCTTATAAAGTAGTGTCAGCATCCGCAGCAGTCGAGAGATTGGGTAGCTTGATGCTCGACCAGAAATAGGCATAGGAGAACAAATTCTAAATCATAAGGGATCAGATCTACAAATATTTCTACATTTTTTTGTATTATAGTCAAAGGATTACTTTAGAAATTCTGGAAAAGCTATATATGTTTGTTTTGTTTGTGACAAGAAAATAAAGATAAGTGTACAATTAATGCATGTAAGCTAAGTACACATAGCTGCTTTGACTCTTGTGGTTCTCCTCAGGACTATAGCCGTACCAGTGGTGCCCACTAGGGGTATGTGTATATATGCAGCAAAGAAAGTATGCACTGTCTGTCAGATCTGAACTGTTCATCAAGTCTTTTTCACATTGTGGGATTACTACATAAAATCTTGTTTGTTCTATTACAACTGAATATTCTGGAAAAAATGATACGGTGGCCTGGTGACTTTCTGTGGTGGTTGCAAAGCTATATATGTGAAGATTGTGCTATATTTTAAATGTTTTTTTCTCATATTGTTGACATTATGCATTTTCTCAAGTACAGTATGCTACATTATGTGGCCTTGACCTAGAAAAACTTGATGACTGCCTGATTGACTGAACATACAACCTTTCGTTTATGAGGTGTTATCAGCATTGCAGCCATCCGAAACAAATCGGTGTTTCTGTCATAAAGCTTTCTTCATATGATTAGACGTTATTATCAAAATCAAATTAGATTGAAGTCAGATTCCACTTATTTACATAAAAACTTAAAAGGGTGCTGGGCTCACATTTTTTAATGCCGAGTGACATATGGGATGCCTTTATTTAGACACTTTTATTTTGTACTTTATCCTACTCCTAAATAAAATTCACCATCAATCAAATGGTCCATCTATCATACTTTTATATTACATTGATCACTATACGTCGGCAAATAAAGTTAATGGCAGCTTTGTATCAATTTAATATGCTCGTTTGTGCACAATATGTTTTTGGTGGCAGAAGCTATCCAACTAACAAAACAATTAGATGATTTCTGGAAAATATAAACTCTGACAAGAAAAATATTGGAAATTTTAAAATCACTTCTGGTTCTCTTATTAGAGCAGATGCCCTATAGGCATTATGACATTAAAAAATATTGTGTTAAATTTTTCGTAAAGTTTTTCTGTTAATGAATCTGTATAAAAAAAATATAGATTTTATAAGTTAAATAATTGCAATCAGCTAAAGATGAAGATAATTATATTGGAATGAAATAGGAATCATTTAAACTGCATAATAAAGTTGAAAATCAGAATTTTATGTATTGGGCATGATACCAAAATATTCAGGATTTCAAATAGCAACTTCTCATCGTGTCAAACATCAATCAAACCTAGATCAATTTCCATTTCAATATCTATTTCTTGACAATTGCGTTAATAGCTTAGTCATCACCTGGTTTAATTAGAACTACATCGGAAGTATTTATAAACTTGTTGGCTGTAATTAATAAAAAAAATCCTCTTTATTTGTCCTATAAAAAGGCGATTTGTGTGAATGATGTGAGGGTATGATAGGGCGGAGGATGTTATCTAGTTTGTGTGTCAGGACAAAGCTATGTTGTTGTTATAGGCTACACAGGTCACCTAAAGCTGGCTTCCTTCCTCAAGATTACATACCTCCTGTTAAACTTATGAGTGATTGTGTATCCACACAGCCTGTACTGTCAGATTATAGCCAGGAGTTTGCTCAAACGCTTTGTACATGCATTGTGTATGACCCACTGCAACCATGAACGTCTTTGAATTCTGCTATAGGCAAAGAATTAGGTCTCAAACTTGAAATTACATTTGTATCCTAAGAATACCTCAATAGTGCCTCTTGATGTATTTCAGTACTTTGAAACTAGAAATACTTCCAGCTGCATTTAGGTAATACATGTACAGTAAAATACATGTTTCATAATTATATACACACTATACTAGTATGGTATGTACATCATTGCCACATTTAGGTAATGATTGGTTTTCATGCTTTTTGAAGGAGATAAGTAATGAATATAAGATTTTTATAACTTGTTCATGAATGTTAACACAAATACTCACTTTCCATTAATATTTTATTGTGTTTTATTAATAGGTATATACATGTATATAGTTTTAAGTGTTGAGGTTTCGATGTAGGTCACGGTACCGGTGGCAGTAATAATGTGACTCATCTCAAGCTCTTCACAGGGAGACTTTTCTCAAATGTGTAGACATGCGATCTAGATTCAGGCACCTGCATATTTATATATATAGATGTAGTGCATTCGTACATGTACACATTATGTGCAGTCTTTGATATCTAATATGCAATGTACAGTCATGTAAAGACTTTAAATGTCAACATATATACATCAGCTGTGAAATTAGTTTCCATTTCATTAGGTTACGAAACAAGTTGAGGCTTTCATTTTCGCAAGACTCGAAGGATGAGATTTGTAACTGGATAAGAATAGATTGATGTCAACAATAATTAATTTATAGTCCAGAGTTTATGGCACAAAAGTCTTATTGAAGAAATAAACAGTGAGGATATTTACTGAAAATCTTTTGAGTATGCAGACCAATGATCATACCATACAGTATTTTCTAACTTGTTCTCCACATCGTTTTAACAGTTTTCTTTCATTCATTTCTTCAGCTATCCATTTCCTTCCATTGTCTCTTCTTTCTCTCTTCACCATTCAAAATTGTATTTACATATATGAGTGATAATATTTAAGAAAAGAAAGTACATGTGCACTAAACCTCGTAAGAACTCTGTTCCTCACGATTGAGGAGAATTTGTGACTAAGAATCATGTCGACATTGGTATTGATTTCACATTAATTTTCGTGATCACCTTTCAAACATATAACATGTACAGATTTCATAGGTTGAAAGGGGCAGGCTTTCCTCCGATCCCCTATTGATTTATTTCATGAAAACAGGTACATAAAAATTGCTGAAGTGTTAGGTAAGAAATAGAAAGATAGCCGGAATGTTTTTGAAAGTTAAATTTTAATACTTCCTGATAGAGCACATGACATGGGAGTAAACACGATCAAACACCCTAGTCAGTAGCCTTAGTCAGTCCTAGATACAGTATGTCCTTGTTCCTGCTCGAATGTATGTAAGGCATGATAAATTGTTTCATTTACTAAACATTTTACTAGAAACACTTAAAAGGAAATTGTACCTGTGTTTTGTACTGATCACCTGTCAGTAAATTGTATAGGATTTGCATGACTGCGTGCAGAATTTGTCAAAAATAATTTTTATAGGGATTTTATAATAGGGAAGTAAGACTACACATTTTGAACTGCTACCTGTGGTTGGCGACCTTGTTATCTTTCTAATCTAGATCTGATGCATGTGAATTTTATTATAAACATTGCTATGTGATTATGCCTTGTAGTAAATATTTTACAGGTAGATTGTTCATGTTAAGTATGTTTACGGATGGGTGTTAATGTTTTATATGCTGAAACTACAGCAGTAAAAAGATAGGAGTTTCAGCACCCAGTAATGCTCAAGAGATAGCTAGACAACAAAAATGCTGTGGGTGAATATGAGGAAATGTCTTACCGATCAGGTTTCAGTAATGAGCAGGTGTAATATTCTTAACTGCAGCTGTCAGGAGAGTTGTTTCAGAAAGGGGGGGGGGGGGGGGGGCTAATAATAACAGCCCCATTTATAAATTATGACAACCTGCAAACAAGCCCAGGTGATACATCTATTCTGATTTGTGTCGAGTTTATTCGCAGCTGTATCAGGGTTACAATGTACAGGAGGAAACTGCTATCACTTTCTGAGAATTTGCATAATATATACCTACAAAATGTAAATCACAAATTGAAACCAATCAGACAATGACACACACAAAGCAATGTCGAGTAGATCATTATGTACTTATATATGTACCTATAATTGTGGTGAAGAGCTCTATACCAGACCGTATCAATCCTGTTGAGAAGTAGTATCTCCTGTAATGGGATGAGACCAGCACATTTATACAAGAGTACACATCATTTATGTGTATTGGAAATAGGATCAGGGAAATTTCAAGTCCAATCAAATAGTATTATTCTTTAGACCTAGACTAATGATTTTTTAGAAAATAATACCTCGCTGTACTTGTATAAAAATATAATGAATAAACAAAATATTTTATATAATGAATAAACAAAATATAACCAACAACAATGTTCTGAATGTAAAAGTTCAGCAGGTCTGGAACAGGATTAAAATCCTGGATTTCAGCTTTTTTATTATCCCTCTATTAACCAACTGAGCTACCTTGTCGACATTGTCCTGGCCCAACTGTGCTACAGTTATATATCCAAAAAGAAAATAAGGGGAGATAACTGTATACAGGAAAAACTACAGTGCAATGCGACAGGGGTCCTTAAGTACATGTGCCCAGCATTGCTGTATACTACTAAGGATAACAATACTTTGTCTATCAAAAATAAGTAGGGCTGTCACGTGTACGGGTACAGAATTTCGGCCCCGGGAACGCGAAATATTTGACCAACGCAAAGCATCACCATTATTGACAGGGTTCTATTAGAGGAGATGCATGTATTGTAAAATCCACAATATGTGTGCTTTGCTTCGTAGACAATGTATTTTTTCGAGGCAAAATATGCGGTCATGAGAAACAAAAATGAAAACAATGTTGCATGTGAACATGTTGCAATACAATAAGATGACGTCCCTGGTGAGTGAAAATAAAACACATGACTGAATATGTCGACAATTTTTCATTTTTTGTGTTAGTTGATACGGATGATGGTAGACAGTTTTCAATTTTAACCTTGTTTTACCATGGTAATTAAAACTGAACCGTATACGGGTACTTAGGTACAACAGCCCTTGAAATAAGCATGACAATGGTTAAGTTACTTTTAAAAACTTTTTAAATCAAATTTTCTTGATTTTGTAGCCAAACCAGTTGTCAACAAGATCAAGCAGTACCGGCTCCACCGAGATGATTTTGAGACCATCAGGATCATCGGCAGAGGTGCTTTTGGAGAGGTGAGTTCAGCATCATTTGTTCCTCTAGTGATCCTGGCATCAATAAAACTCTTTCGTAAACTGGATGAATTCTAATTTGTTAGTTGATGATAATGAAGTTTTCTGAATCAAGTTGTCTGTATCGTTATTTTGTATATATGCATCAAATTATTTGAAGAGTATATTTTCTATATAAGCGATATGCATATATATACTGCATTTGGAATGAAAGCATCACTTGCTATGCTGCTTTCGATAAAAATTCTACTGCCTCAGAAATCAAGGTTTATGTTACTGGTCCTGGAACTAGCGAAAATCAATAGGAGTTGTTACAGATATAACTGTGAAATACAGAGCTGTATGTATGTATTACATACACCACTGCGATTATAGGCTTGATATCAACATAAAAGTGTAAGAAATTATAGGCTTGATATCAACATAAAAGTGTAAGTAATTATAGGCTTGATATCAACATAAAAGTGTAAGTAAAGCTTGTAACTTACTGTTGTTTCGAAGTCATCGTGACTCACAAAGACATTTCTCAAGTCACCACCTAACAGTATGTACACATAGTAAGCAAAAATGGACTTGTTCGGTAAATGTTTTAGGGATTTTATTACAACTATTTCATAACATTAAAAATGCATGTCACTCCAAGTTATATGATATCAGATTGCAATAGATCATGTACACCTAGGGCATTATGTTTTAAATACAAATATATGCAATTAACAATACCATTTTTAACCACAGGTGGCAGTGGTTAAGTTGAAGTCGACAGACCAAGTTTTTGCTATGAAAATCCTCAACAAATGGGAAATGCTGAAACGAGCCGAAGTGAGTGTGGAATAAACGCATTTTCTAGTTTTGGTTGATCTGTTTTTCATATGTGTATGTATAGTTCACATTATTCGAGAAGCACAAGAACTTGAGACATTTTGATATGCTGATTGAATAGCTTATGTATCACTTTTAATTGATGTACACACACTTTGTTTTCCATCGAAACTGACTGCACCATGTGGCTTTCCATGATCATGATGAGTTAGCTATCTAGTGTATGTACGTCTTACAAAATAATTAGTCGACCTCGGTCCTATGAAGTTCCTATGCAGCTGTCAAAGTTTCTGCAGAGCAGGCGGCAGGCTGTCAAGGAGGAAATGAATATTTGGAGATTGTACTAGGGAAAGTTTCTTCCTAGAACAGATCAACTCCATTTTCTTCTGTCAGTCACATTGCCCGATGCTACGTCTGCTATTGCAGAGGAAACAGACCCGCAAACTCAGTATGAATGAAAAATGTAACACATATACACTGGGTGGGATACGATAATACAATTTTGTCAAAATGACATTCGTTACATTTTAGTTTTATGCTAGGTGTGGTATGGTAAGTTTCTTCAGTAGATGAAAACAATTTCCTTATGCTTAATGTATTTTAGCAAAGGATTCGCATTGGAAAAGATACGGAAATGAATTCTTGACAAATTTATTGTGGTTCATTGATTTACCTTTAATTCTTCAATCATTTGTTCATAAAGAGCTATCATAGAAAAGACATTTGTTATTTTCACTGTCATTTCTTTTCTAATCTCATGTTGAACAGTTCCAGAACACTTCCATTTGTCAGAAAGTGAGATTATCAGTTTCCACTGGTACTGTCATTCATTTTGCAAATTTCTTAATGTATTAATTTTTAAAATTGATTGTTAGAGGCAGAATTAAGGTTATGTGTGGAAATGTGTGCTTTTACAGTGTGAGAATTTCATAATTCCTGGAACTATTCCTTCAGTACAACATTCAATCATAGACTTTTATAAAAGATTAGTTTGGTTGCTATGAATTTTATTTTGTCTTTGACCAATCCCTCAGTAAAAATGAAATTTCTACAGCCATGTATTCTCAACTGGATAACAGTGGAAAACACTTTCATTGAAAGTTCTACAGTGTATTTGCTAATTTGTAAATATACATCATGCATATTTCATTTGGAACTTTGAAAGTAATTGATTACCATGGACACAAAGAACAGTGCAATAAGGTAGCTTTTGTCACAGAAGTAGGACATGAATTGGTGTACAAGGCTGTTTCTACTGGGTCCTTGATCCAGGTTATATATTCATGGAAGCAATTGACAGCAACTCTTGAAAATATCCCTTATCTAATTATATGATGCCCATTGGGAGATTAGATATGTAGTGTCTGTATACTACTTCTGTTCCATCACCCACTAATGCTTTCGTGCTAGGCTGTTCATAAAAAAAAAAGCAGAAAAAATTGATTACAAAGTAAATTCCTAAGCCATCTAGATTGTTTACTTTCGTGGATATCCAATATTAACAAACAGTTGACACACATATCATTCAAATTCGTTATATCTTTCTTCATAGTTAAATAGCAACCATGAGTGTTTATACACAATAAACAATTCCGTTATAGAGTACTAGTAAAGAAGAAAATCATTTTCAGAAATAACTTTTTTTGTCCGTTCTATTTTCAGACGGCTTGTTTCAAAGAAGAGCGAGATGTGTTAGTATATGGTGACCGCCACTGGATCACAAATCTCCATTATGCATTTCAAGATGACAACTTTCTGGTAAGTATAAAACAGGCTGTAAATACAGTGTTTTAAAATTGACAATGACAATCTAAACAGGTATTCAAAAATATCTCAACATTGGTACATTTAAAAATGGACATACTTTGTGGAAAAATTGCATTTAAAAACAAACATAAGTTTGCTATCTTAAAATAATAATTCATGATGATTAAGGAATGCTCATAGATACCAGGAAGAAACTTTGTGATGATAACATTTTGTTTCCCCGAGTCCGTAAGAACAAGACATATGTACGTACTGTGGAACAAAAGTTGCTGCAGCGCTTGATTAAATTGTATACTGTGTCCACTTCAGTTCCTTGTGATGGACTATTACTGTGGAGGGGACCTTCTAACACTGCTGAGCAAGTTTGAGGATCGGCTTCCAGAAGACATGGCCAAGTTCTACATTGCTGAGATGGTGTTGGCTATTAGTTCTATTCACAAGTTGTGCTATGTGCATCGGGATATAAAACCAGACAATGTTCTCATAGATCAAAGTGGTCATATAGTGCTAGCTGACTTTGGTTCATGTCTCCGGCTTCTGGAAGATGGAACGGTAAGTGCAAATTTGAAGCACAAATGCTTGATCCAAAGTTTTTAGTATGCTTGCTGTTGAAGCAAAAAAAACACCAGAAGACTGTGAAATCAGACATTTTTGTGGGGCCCACATTTTGTGGTTTCTTGACAAAACACTATTTTGTAGGTACATGAATTTGTGGATTACGAGTACCCACTCAAACGGAGAATTACAGATTTATATCAAACTCGTAATTACTGCGTGGACCTATGAATTCATGGATGAAGATTACCCACAAAATCAACGAAATTAAAAAAACCCACAAAAATTAGTAATTTCAAAGTAGGGTCATTCCCAAAAGTTCTGAATAGTATTGATTTTATCATGTGCTGATTTATTTGGTCTTGCAAGTGAAATAATTTCTCTGATAATTCCAGCTGATATCTGTCTTGAATTTGCCACCAAACATTGTTTTCAAAATAGAATTTAACCAAAATATTCTCCAAAGAAGAAAGTCCTGTGATATTTCTGTAATAGCACTTGCTATCAAGGCTTGATCTACAAAAACTTACGTACATGCTCTGCCCAATATAGCATATGTCCTTCCTGGCCACTTTCTGAAGAGTACAGTGTCTTGGGAGATTACATATTTAACCTTTGTCAGACTTTATGTTTCGTTAAGGTGTAAAAACCTTATGTTGCAAGAACAGTCCCTGTTGTGCACAATTGATGATCTGACACTGTTGTAGTGATTACAATCAGTAACCCAGTTTAATTATTACTTTACAAAGATTGATGAGCCAAAATAGCACCAACACACTTCCCCACCACCTGTGTCTCGTCACTATATAGATACTTTATGTTTCAATCATGCTGATTGGTTTGTCCACTGCTACACTTTCTACCTATCAGAGCCCTCATCAGTATCTGTAGATGCTGATGAGACCTCTCCAACTTCCATAAAATGTATGCATACCAGCAGTTCTGATGTAAAGTTGTAAATTTATAGCTAAGCAATGGTGGCCGCAGAGAAGAATAATTGCTTCATATTGTATTGTTTCTATGTAATAGCCATTCATTGCAAGAAAATCATAATAATGAATGTTTCAGATGCTGAAAAGAGCCGAAACTTGTCTTTGAATCTTTTTTAAATACTACACCTTTTATTACTTCAATGAGTGTTGCCACTTCAGGGAAGTTTTTTTGATAATATTTGGGGATTTTTTTTTGTAGCTTTGCATTATTTCATATCTTTGTAACAAAGTTCAGCCAACAATGAAATGTTCAAAACAAAAATCTAGTTGAAACCAATGATGTATTTAGTAACTCTGGAATAAAACAAAATTTATAATATAAATACTTTGGTTTTTAGGTGCAGTCTTCAGTGGCAGTTGGTACACCAGATTATATCTCTCCAGAAATTCTTCGGGTAAGTTTTCTATGTTCGATAACATTCCTGTTCAGCACTTGACTTTTTTTCCTGGTAGAACTTGCCGTAAGGAAGTATTTTCCTCATTAAGCTGTTGGTTAGTCTAAATTTGTACTGGTAGTGTAGAGGTTTCCTAAAGAAAGATAATGTCACGTAAGTTAATTTTCATGTCAAATGAATATACATGGTTTTACTAAATCACCTAAACTCTTTCACCACTGTAGACTTTAATAGACTCATCCAAATCAATGCATGGAAGAGTTTACTGAAGTTACATACGGGTGAAAGGGTTAAAACTCCAGCTACCAGTACACTGTTCTGTTGAGGAAGGTCATTTGTCATTGTTTATTCTCTACAAAACCAAAACGTTTTCCCAATGGGATTGACCTTATTTCTTCTTTTGCCCAACACATCACTTCCAGAAGTACACTCGGCCTTCTTGCAACAGCAACATGACTTCTGTTTCACATTGTACTACGTTGGTATTTGTCCTGCATTGTCAGCACATGTCACATCCAGCTTCATCCCCTGGACTTTTATAGAGCTAAACTACCATTTATCCAACTAGGAGTTCTAATATGGTGATACTGGTAGTGAGCAAGAAACCATGTTATTGTGTTTGCCACCTTCGCTTAAGCTGAGTTAATTGGAAGGCCAATGTAAGTAGGCCAGTCTCGGATGCCTTGATGTTGAATCTGTCCATCCGTCCAGCTTCCATTGTTTCCTTTAAAACCATTTCCTCTAAATGATTTCTTCAAATGGAGAAATTATGTAATGAAACATAGTTTGTAACGAACCTCAGGTGACATGAAAAAATACTAAAGACATTTTTAAACAAGTTCATGGCAATTCTATGCAAGGACATCTACACACAGGTACAATTTTGTTATAAAAGGTGACAATACTAAGGGTACCAAACTTTGGGATATTTTGGCGTTTTTTACTCAAAAACGGTACTTGTGCTGCTACATGACAGGACTTGATCATCTATAGCCTTTGTTTACACCGGTATTTACTGAAAACATGTCAGTATGGTACGAGATGTTTCAGATTCCATAAATATACAACCTATTGTATTACGTTCCACCTGACTGCACAGGAGAGCACATACTCATGAGATCAGTTATCGTCCTACTTATCCTATAGCTATGGGGCTGACCTCCTGCATACACTAGAACACAACTAAAACAACAACTGATACGAAAACACTGAACATGAACATACCTTTATTGACATGTTATTTATGAAGTGTATTATTCATGTCAAAAAACTAAGGGATTCCAAGCTTCAAAGTTAACTTACATGAAAGATATATAGCCCATGGAAGTTAGTGATTGTTGCGTAATAAATGAGTTGGAAGTCAGCCTGTTGCAACAATATATTTCGGCATCGTGAAATTTTGATGTGTTTAATTTTTGCTCACTCCAAGCACCAAATTTACCAAAATATAACCAAGTCCAATATATCCCAAAGTAAAGTGTTATTACTATGTGTGTTTGTAAGGTTACATGTATCAAAACCAGTTTCACAAAATCAAAGTCAAGGCGATGATTGAAAGGTCAAGGTCAGTCACTTTTCTACTATAGCAACACTTCATTTTGTCTGATGAAGATTCACACAAAGTCAAACCAGCATTACAAACCCTATGCCCACTTGCTTGTAACCTGTCACAGTATTACTCCAAATAGTGGTTTCTATAAAACGATAGTAACCTGTACAAAAGGCACCTATCCAATATGTCAATATTTTACTTTTTGCCCAGCTGACAAGTTACATTGTAATTATGAACTATGTGATGTTACGTTTATGCGACAAACTTTGTGTGTGACATACAACATGAACGTTAAATCATTGCAGGCTATGGAGGATGGTCATGGTCGGTATGGCCCGGAGTGTGACTGGTGGTCGTTGGGAGTCTGTATGTACGAGATGTTGTATGGAGAAACGCCTTTCTATGCAGAATCTCTTGTGGAAACCTATGGCAAAATCATGAACCATCAGGTAAGTTTACAGTCACTGAAAAATGTGTTGTGTAAATAAAGGTTCCCCAACGAGTAATGGTTGGTTATCGTGTTTATCTAACTTTGAGTTAGTTAATTTTCAAGTTGTATACAGATTGGAGGTTTACCAAGTGTCTTTTATTGTTTCAAAATTATGAACGAGAGTTAGAAAAACATGATATGCAACCATCACAAGTTTGGGGACTTTTTTTCTCCCACAAAGTTCAGATTTTATATTTAGAGAAAAGCTGTGTTTTCTCTTGGGAATACATTATTCCTGTTCCCAATTAGGTAAACAATTGCATTAACTATGACATCACAATGGAAGATGACGTCGCAAAGCTTTATTACTTGACGTCATAATTAGAAGATTGACCGATGAAATCACGTCCAGGGTGTTACCCTCTCTTGGGCAACCAACCCCTAGAAGGTTTATCCAATGAGAAGGAAACGAGGAACTTTATACTGGTTGTGGGAGAAATGTGTGTCTTTCACCAAAGGAATGGTTGAGAATTTGATTAATTCACAGATCTATAGGAAGGTTAATTTGTAGATAATCTGATGTTCATCACTTAAAAGTTTCTTTAAGAGAACATTTATGAAAGACGAGCCGTCTATTTTATACAGAAGAAAGTTGGTATTTAAGCACTGATAGGAACAAAAAGTACCCGTCACTATTCATGACTGATTTATATACAGTGACAAAAATGGGTAAAACTGCAAGTTTACCATTTGTACTATGATAATCATTGGTATCATAGTCCATTGTCCTGTAATATAACTCTGATACCAGAGAAAAAGTTGTTCTGCAATATGTTGTTCCCAATCATTACTACCAGACTATAGGTTTGTACTCCATCTGTCTCTGCCTCACTTTGTCAAGGGCATATCTCGCATACAGTTTTGTATCGAGCACCTCTTGGAATGGCAGAGTGTGGTGTGCTAAAATTGGATCTAGTGGTCTGTTTATAGAGTTGTGGCCCTTAGTTCATTGTGCATAACTTTGTCTGAGGCATTTCTCATATATTCTGTCGCCTACAATTGCCAAACTATGTATGCGGTACCTCTTGGAATGATGGCGTGTCACATATAAGATCAGGTCTCATGTGTAGCTATATAATACGGTTACATTCCTTTGTCCAGAGAAAGGGGACTATGGATTGTGAGCAATATTTTGCCTTAATGTTTTCATGCTAGAATGGTATCAACAACAAAATTATTTCATGGTATTTGTAATAAAAACAATGAAAAGTTAATTGTATAAAAACTAATGGATGTTTTATAAAAAATGTGTAACTTTTCATTCAGCTCACAAAATGGATGTTTTGATCAGTGTTTTAAAGCTTAAATGTTTATGAAAAAATGTTATTTCACAAATGTTATGAGATACAGCAACAGTATCTGATCTATATATATTAGGATTATGTCTATATTATAGTAGTATGCAATGTGGAAGGTCACATTGGAATCCTGAAGCAAGTAATAGAGCATAGCCACATTAATGATTTTGCTGTACTGCATTGGGATACACCGATAGCCAGAAGTCTTATAAGATGCAAAATGAAACAGCTGCACTTTCAAGGATGAAAGAAAATATTTGTTGATGAAATTAACTCAGTACTTGTATCCTACATTGGATGACATTGATCCATTTTGAATTTTGCAATCAATAATTGATTAATTATTGACAAAAGACGGGAGTCAGTTGGCGACCGACTAAACGCAATCAATAATGCCACCGTGAAACTCGAGCTGTGTGTATGTTAACCAAGAGCAGCCTTGTCCCACAGACATCGCAGACATGCATGTATTACATATTTCCAGGGTGCCCTTTGGTATTTTCTTTGGTGAGACGTAATACGCTGTACATCAGCTATAGCTAGGTACCACATCCTTGTACATATATATCTGTCCTTCTACTGGAGCAGCAGATCCTCTGTGAAGCTTCACCCACTGTAGGGAAAGCATTACAGAAAACAAGAAACTTTTTTTTAATTCACATCTATGTTTTATGAGCAAGTATGCAAGTTGCATTTGCTAGCTTGACAGAAAATCAATATTTTTTTGTAACAAATGATCTTTTATTTCACTTTTTGATGCTGTTGTTGTGCATTAGCCATAATTATGTTAATTTATTTATTTTTTCACAGAGATCTCTATCTGTTAGTCAATGTTGTAATTGTTGAATTGTCATGAATAAAGAATTGATTTATCCCCCAACAAATAATTAAACAGTATGAAACAACAAGGACAAGCAGAAATCTGGCCCCCGTTTAAAGGTCCTTGTTAGCTTAAAAGCCATTAACATAAAATTTACAGAAGGACTTTTTGGAGAAATTTACAAATATTTTTGTATTTCCTGTCTTTGGGTGATTATTCTGGTTCCCATTTATATTTGAATTCAATTATGAATGAAGATATTTTTGAAAATAAACAGATAAATGATTCACATCAAATTGTGGTTAAGCTGACCAGGCTATAATCAACTTTGCCTTGGTATCAATGATCAAATAAAATGTCTGAAGTATGAATATGAGAAGCAAATTAAGTTCCCTTATGGTTGAAGTAGCAATTATTATGAAAGATATACGATAAAATGTAACACGTTAGCTATACGGTACTTGGGTTGAGTTTTTTTTCCTGACGTGATTCTGTTTTATGAATGGTCCGATCAAGTTGCTCAAGTACAACATGGGAAATAAATCAAAAGAAGTTTCAGTTCATTGTTTAAGTATTAATCCTTGTGCTACATTATTTCAGTTACAGCAATGAAAAAAGATTATTGATATGTAACAGAAAAACATGTTGTAAATTGCACTTTTGTAAAAATCTGTAAGCATTATTATTTTTCCACAAATCTTTGAAAAGAGAGGAGAGTTCCCAGATATGTATCAATAGTACTCTGATTTTTCTTTACCCCGACTATATCTTATACATACATGCAAGCTGCTCTAACTCAAGCTGTAGTAGTAGATACACATAGATCACAGGGATAAGGCAGTTTAACAAACCACATGTGACTGCTGTATGTTAATTGGTAGTTCCTCGGAGGAGTTGTAAGACACATGCACCACACCACATCTACAAATAGCTCCACAGCCAGCACTGGCAACTCTGTACACACCTACAGGCTGTCAATAATTCAAGGTAGTGAAAGGTCAATATTGTGTATACTGTACTCAAAGGTCAATATTGTGTATACTTTACTCAAACATCAATATTGTGTATACTTTACCCAAAGGTCAATATTGTGTATACTTTACTCAAAGGTCAATATTGTGTATACTTTACTCAACGGTCAATATTGTGTATACTTTACTCAAAGGTCAATATTGTGTATTCTTTACTCAAAGGTCAATATTGTGTATACTTTACTCAAAGGTCAATGTTGAATATTGTGTATACTTTGATCCATGTATTATCTTAGACTCCATTGTCCGGTCTTACCAACTCGTACTCTGATGGTAATTAAAAAAATAATCCTGATGAAATCCTGTCACATATGTATCATGTTTATGAGTAAACATTTAATGTAGTATCATATGACATAATTATGCATCAATTGCATATTAATAGATTTAATGCAAGTAAATTGGATTATTTTGTGTTCTGACTTGAGAATAATTTCGTTCCTATCACTTGTACATATTGATAATATGATTTCAGTGACATTGTGACACATTAGTTTTAGTTCTCTCAACCTTCCATAGACATGTTAAAGGTTCCGTGTACCACTGCCAAAACTATAAATATGCATTAGAAACTGTTTTTCAATCATTTCTGAAAGAAAAAAATGATACCTTGCTTCTATGAAAATTTATAAAATTGAAATACAAAAAGAACTTATCAACACCAGTGTTCTGAGTGTAAAAACTCAGCCGGGCTAGACCGGGATTTGAACCTAGGACCTGACATTGTTGTATTATCGCTCTAACCATTTATGATAAAACTTAATTTTTTAGTAGTTATTAGAGGAGAAAATTATGTAAGATTATCTTAAAGAATTATATTTGTAGAATATTCGTTTTCTGGTTGTAACTTTTATGTTGACACAAACCCTAACTTGGGATTAGGAACTGGTATATCTGTGTAGCTATAACACTATGTGTACCATTTACTTACATCATATGTATTACACAGATCACTACATCACATGTCTGATGAAAAATGTTTCGTAATCATGCCTAGCATTGGCCCTGCCCTTTTATTCAGAAACTTGAGGGTAGTGGCATGGCATGTTCAAAGAAGTAGCTATATCACCAGGTCTCCGGGGTTGGGCGCATTGTTAGCGCTTCACTGGACACAGTGTAGCACCTTGAACACCAGGTTGTGAAGTTGTTGAAAGCCCAAGGAGGATGTAAAAGCAAATTTGATTGATAAAATTTGGTTATCCATGGTTAGACAGATAAATCTCTTAGATTTGTTATCCTCATTCCACGCATCATTTACTTTGTAGCATTGTGTGTGCAAAATAATATCTTGTTATATCTGCAAAAGATCTACGTTTATGTTTTAAAACGATCCACATGTTCATAGGCAATCCCTCATTTATGTAGTTCTACCGTCTGTCTGTGTATTTTTGAAACGAATGAATAAGAGAAAATCAAATCGTATTGATTAAAAAGCAGTGTTTAAAAAGAAAAAAATAAGGAAAAAAAGAAAAGCATTTTAAAACATCGATTGCTGAAGGTATTTTCACCACTTTTCTTCAGAAATATTAAAAACTCATCAGTTATTTCAACAAAATGCTTTATTGAAGTTTGCAAACCATTAAACATTATTTTGTCAAAACTGAACTAAGGTTTTATTTGTTTAAAAAAAAATGCAGAAGATAATTAAAGGAAATCAAATATTGACCGTAGCAGTATTTGTTTAATTGTTCCTATAGCAGAGAAGTTATTGATTAGATAATTAGGACCATCATAAAATGGGGACATCACCTTTCAATGTGATGGGTAGGGTTGTAAAACCGTAATCTCGGGATCATCACTAAACAGAGATGGAACGGGATGTGCAGTGGAATCTGTAGTACAGGGTAAAAGTGATGTATGATTTTTGCGGCAGCCTATTGAATGGCTGTTAATTCATTGATTTCACAGCCGCATTATCATATCGCGTCCTCACTGTTTTATTATCGGGACAGGCTGTTGGGGCACAGCAGGGTGTCATTGTCGCATAAAGCAAGATTTAAAAGCCGTTATCAGAGGAGATTATAAGATCAGTGATAGATTACTCCACTCCACACTCCCCACTTCAGGATCAAGGACATCTTGGCATCACCCAAATTCTTGACATGTTACAAATAGATTACACCCCATGCAATTTCATCAGCAACCTCTTGCAAATAAATTCACTGATTATTATTTTATTTTATTTTTTTAAATTGTGAAATCTTTAAATTGGTATTGGATTTTACGTTCCAGAGATATATATTTTTTTGATTTTTTTTAAACAATCTTACGGTAGACTGTCAGATGTTTTATTGATATTATTTTGTAATTTCCAGACGCGGTTTGAATTCCCTGACGATGTAGATGATATTTCCGACGATGCCAAGGAACTGTTGAAGTTACTCATATGTGGTGCAGACAAAAGATTAGGCAAAAATGGTTTGGACGACTTCAAAAATCATCCCTGGTTTGAAGGCATTGATTGGGAGAATATTCGCACCAGTGAGTACCAATGACTTCTCGCACTAAGGGCCATGTCTATTGAGACTTAACACATTGACAAACAATGACAGGCACTAAGAACCTAAGAACTAAGGCCATGTATGTAAGGATAAAGTTTTAATATTGATTTCAAAAAATAAAAATGTCTATTTGAAATTATTCTGCATAAGAATGTAATAAGTCTATTAAAATATCATTTTAAATTATTTTTTAGGTCACCTGAGCTTTAGCTTTTCGGGTCGATCAGAAATCCAATATGGCCGCCACGGCCGCCATTTTGAAAAACTATTTCAAACTTAAAGTCAACTTCTGCTAGGCCGATTGAACTGAAACTTTGTAGGAATGATCAGCTCATGTTCCTGACAAAGTGTTTTTATTTTTCGGGTCCTTCAGAAATCCAATATGGCCGCCACGGCCGCCATTTTGAAAGCCTATTTCAAACTTAAAGTCAAGTTCTGCTGGACCGATTGAACTTAAAGTTTGTAGGAATGATAGACTCATGGTCCTGACAAAGTGTTTTTACTTTTCAGGTCAATCAGAAATCCAATATGGCCGCCACGGCCGCCATTTCGAAAAACTATTTCAAACTTAAAGTCAAGTTCTGCTAGGCCGATTGAACTGAAACTTTGTAGGAATGATCAGCTCATGGTCCTGACAAAGTTAAGTTAACATTATACTATTTTTTACTCAAATTGGTACATATTTCAACAAAAAAAAATACTGTAGACTCAGGGGACCGTTAAGGCCCATGGGCCTCTTGTTTATTGATATCTTTATTTCTTGAAATTAAAATATAAGTTAAGAATGTGTTTTTTTGGCATCCTTGTCTACATTGACTAAATATGAGTCAAGATTTTTCACATTTCAGACTTCTTAAATAAGCACCGAGTCATATTTGATTAAGTTGGTACAATTGATAAATGGGACAGTTTGATCAGTTGATAGCAGTGAAGTGGCTTCCTGGTGTCAATGGTGTTGGTACACATCTTTCAATTGAGAAAATATTTGTGTCAACATAAAAGTTAAGTTTGATATTATTACACAGGTGTAAATTCTGTCAAGTCCTAGAAATATCATAACTTTGATTCTTGCATCAACTAGAGGCGAAGTCTGTGTACATTAATACATTTCTTGAGGGGGGGGGGGGGGGGGGGCATAAAAATGCTTGTAGATACTAGTTGAAAATAGGCTATACAAAGTGTTAAAGTACAATGAAAAGATGAAAAACATCAGTGATTCTTTCCTTCATTCAGCTGGTTACTGTTGACTCCAACATTTATATCCCATAAGGAGTTCATAGGTTTACATGAAACATTGCCGAGATTAAGTATCATGCTATAGATTGCCTGTTTCTATGGTGGATATGAGAGAGAAGTGGTAGAAGGTAGAAGCAGTGACCTTTCTACATGTCTGTATTACATGTAAATTTCTTACTTCAGTGACGCCACCCTATGTCCCTGAAGTGAGCAGCCCGACAGACACTTCCAATTTTGATGTTGATGATGCTGACTTCCGACACACTGTAAGTACCGGTATATCTACTGTAATAAATTCTGTCATTATTTGCCAAAAATGACTGGAATTATCGATGGTCCTTGAAGCAAAACAAACATAAATTGGTTTCAATGATATTGAAGAAAAGCTAACCCAGCTAAGTTGTACACTGTATAATACTTTATAAATTACAGCAACTCCTGAGATAAAATCTAGTTACATAATTGCATGTCTTTCTTAGGACCACGTAGTTATAAGAATCTGATGTGAAACCCTATCTGAAAGGGAAAATAATGAGGTTTCACTTTGCAGAGGAATAATGTAACTTTTAAACTTCGAACAAGAGTGCACCTCAATGTCAACTTGGTGTGAACATTGTAAAATTAAAAATCTGTAGCAAAAAATATATTTGTATTTACAGGATTCGGTACCACCAATATCAAATGCTGCTTTCAAAGGTCATCATCTTCCATTTGTGGGATTTTCCTTTACATCCGAGTCGTAAGTCTCCACTTCTCTAACATTTTTATCTGGAAATGCTTGAAGAAAAATTAACTCCTAGCTGCATGTGTATCATTTCTGAAGAAAATCGCAGGACTTGTTCCAAGTGTGAGTCATTGTTTATAATATTGAATTATTGGCTGTTTAACTGTATGCGGTTCTCTCAAAGTAGTTGTCTAGTTGAAGTCGGTATTGATCTTCTTCATTAATCTAATTCCTGTGGGTTTCTATTGGCAGACAAATCTCAGATCTTGGAACACTTCAAGATGTTGGCGAGATTGACACGGAGAAGTTGGAGTCCTTAGCAGCCGAAGCTTTCGAGCGAAAGATAAAGGCTTTAGATAAAGAAAATAAAGAACTACAACGGAAATTACAAGGTAAGATTTCCTCCTGAAAGTATGTGCATATAAAGTTTGATTAATTACAGTAGCTAAGGGAAATTTTATTATTGACCAAATTGAATATGATGGATTAAATGAAAACTTTCACTTTACTTTTTGGAGTAAAATGGAAATTGTAAACCTTCCGATATTTCTGAAAAAAGAAGTCTATCCTACCGAAGGTCATCTACTATAATATACATATTTAGTAAACACGGTAATGAGCTGTCAATTTCACTTGTAGAAACATTTTTTTTCGACAACAACTCGTTAAATACTTCATAGGATAATAGAGTTTCAGAAATGGTTTGAGTTTATCACTCACAACAAGTTATCCAAGGAAAACACTTGGGACTATAATAAACATTACTTTTGAGTAAGCAATTCATTGACAACTAGTAACAAATGTGTACAATGTGTATATCCATTGACATATCTGCCAAGCTTATGTATGAGTAAAACTATGTTGGATCCAGTAAATATCAGTAATCTATAAGGGCTATTCCATGATTAACTGTATGGGGCGAGTGGGATGGCACCTGTATGTATATATTATGGGTGGTTGGAGTTAAAACCAGATCTGCGCTATATTGCGCAAAAGTATGCTACTGCTAATAATTAAACAAATTAAAAATGTAATAATGTGCTAAAATTTTCGTGGAGTAAAATAAGTTTGTTTACGATAAGTTTCCTGAGTGATAGCAAAAATCAAATTTGATCTAAATTAAAACATGTGGGACAACACATTAAGATCTGTAAAGTGAGGTATGGTTTTGAAATTCAGCTCAAACTAGTGAGTAACTCCCAAAAGCAAGTCCTCAGAGTAAGTGTAATAGATACCAGGCTTGTCTAAATCTTGGGAATGTCAGATAGTGTAAAGAGCCATGTAAATGTTTATGTTGCTTTAACACCCTTGTTTGTGGTTGTAGACACTAGTGTGACGATACAGAAACTTAACAGTGGAGAGATCAGCAGTACTGCTGCAGCGGCAGCTGCTGGTGCTGCCGAATCTGAGGTTCGCCAACTCAAGGAGGAGATATCCGTGTTACATAGAGTAGTCGCAGGTATGTTATAAATACAGATCCTATAAAGATAGTCTACCCAACATAGAAGCTACTAATTTTAATGCCATATTGTCCCTCTAAATGATGATGAATATTGGTCTTCTATACTTAAAAAAAATGCATGGGCCACCTTGATCAGCTAAGTTATATCTAAAAGATTTTGTTTTTTCAAAACTACGATTTTTATAACAACTATATAATACATGTAAATGTGATCTTTTTATTCCAGAGTCACAAACAGAAATCAGTTCTGTTGAGCAGGAACTCAAACGGGCCATGGACAGCAAACATGACCTTGAAAAACGCATCAGGCTTTTAGATGAGGAAAAGTCGGCACTTGAAAAGGTTTGATATGCTTTCAAATACTTCTGTGTTCTTTTTCAAAACTCAGATAAATATCAATATTTGTTTTGGCATAGCATAAGTACCAGTTCAAAAATTGGGGGCTAGAAGTATGTGTTATAAATACTACACACTGATATATTCCACAATTCCATTGGCTGTACCTAATACATGGGACTAGTTTTCAAAAACTACTGTAGACTGGTTTCCCTGTCAATAATGATTTCTTCAGGTGAATCTCCTATAGTGCATCTTAACCCTCAAGTTTTGAATCCATGTTTTAATGTATTGTTCAAGCATATAATAAAACAGTTAGATGTTTGTGATGGTAAATATGATTTTATATGAACCTTTAAAAAACAAAATTTGACCTTCACTTTACCTCAATCAATATCACTTTTTCAGGTTCATATCATGTCATATTCACCATCACGAAAGTTCATAATTGAGTAATATATAACATGTGCATCAACTCATGTACCCCTGAAGACACATTTGAACTCTTCCAAGTGAAAGGTTGGAATAGTTCATTATAAAACTTCGGGGATGAATGAGTTACTTAAAAAAAACATCTTTAGTCTAGTCACATCCGAAAAGCTCAGGAAATTTCTCACATAATTGAAACTGTTAGCTATAATGACAATGAGAATTTTTGAAGAACATTAATTTTCTGTCTTTGTAACACAGGAACTCCAAGACTTCCGAGAAAAGTACAAACTACAATCGAGAGAACTGAAGGAGGCTCTAGCTAAACAAAAGATAGCTATAGAACAATACACAGATTCAAACGACTCGTAAGTAATCAGTAGACAGTGTTACTGAACAGTCATCCACGCACAGGAGCGAGAGAGAGAAAAATACCAGTGTGTCAAGGAGCCAAAAGGACAAAGATCTATCTTATGGTTCTTAAGATTGTTTTATTGATTGTGTTATCAAGATAATAGTGGTTTTGTATGGACCTAATCAGTATTAAGGTTCCGGTTGTGTAAATTATGTAAATGTGTTTTAAACAGCATTAGAAAAAGAAGAAAAAAAGCATAATGCTATCACCACATAATGTACAAAATGTTAGGAACATGATGAAACATCGTATGTTTTCTTATTTAGCTGTTATTGTGATGAATGATGGTATTATTAATTTGTGTATTTTGCTATACAGTATCGCTATAATGTATTTGCTTGATGTCTCTCACAGTGTTCCCAGAAACCCCCAAATGAGGATTTCTCATCCAAAGAACAGTTGGTTGTACCCCCAGTTTCCATGAATCGTCTTATTTAACTAAAGTACCTACGGGTACAAAATCTTGAAAATGTATCAAATAAACCCCTAAATCTAAAATTCAGAGGAACCACTGAATATCCAAAATCACCAAAAGAAAGATGGTAGTATATCTGGGTAACACTGTATGTTCATAACTTATTGTCATGTGACCTATGTGTTGTTGTTGTCGCAAATGGACGTGTGTCCAAGCAAAACTGAAATCTTCCAATCTTTGTAGGTTATTGAAATCCCAAGCCAAGGTGAAGGAACTTACAAGGGAGTTCCGAAACAAAGATGAGGAAATGGAGGAGTACAAAAGGAAGGCAGATAGCTTGAAAAATGAACGGAGGAGAGCGGAAAAGTCAATATTGGAGGTTAGACTGCGACAATTAATATATCTTCATATTTAATTTCATTTTCAATTAAATTCAAATGGGAGATGTCAAATCACGCATCTGGTACTGAGAAAAACAGACATCTTTGATTGATTTCTTTAAATTGGAAAAAATGAGTGTTGAAAATTCAATCTGTATCTAATCTCGTAGGTTTTTCCCCAAATATTACAATCTACTGTTTTAATCATAACCAATCATCCCTCAGTTGATACTTCATTTAATATGTGTATATGTTCAGTTTACCTTGATGGATTATCTTATGTTTCTGCATTGTTTTCCTTGTGGTTAATTTAAAAAAAAGTTATTATTTGTGAACATTATTTCACAGCTACAAAATCAATCTGATGAATTTCGATCCGAGGCAAGTAAGGAAAGGAAGCTGAAGGAGAGAGCAGAGACCTTCGCAAGGGAGTTAGAACAGGAAATAGAAAGTATGAAACGGAAACAACTAGGAAGGGCATCCAACACATCTACATTAGAACTTACACAAGAAATTTCAAGGTACATATATATTGACATAATGAACAACTTTGATGGCATTACCCTAGACCATTCATTTCCAAATGACACATTGCAAAAGAACCTGAAATTTAAATGTAATCACTATCAGAAAACCAATATTCATATTTTAATCTTATGACATAAATGTTTGAAATTATTCCTTGTTGTTGCAGGTTAAAAACGGATATAGAACGAAAGGAGGTAGACAACGAGGAAAAATTAGCTAGACTGTTGTCCAAACAGCAGACAGAACTTAGTGATAGACAGTTTCATATGTCAGAACTCGAGTTAAAAACCAAAGAAACTACCAAAGAAAATATGACATTAAAACAAAAACTTAGTAATCAAGCTTCTGTGGATGAATTACAAGCAGAATTACAAAGACTTAAGTTACAATCGGATCATTCTGGTCGCGAACAATCTGTGATGCAAGAAGAAAACTCAAGATTAAAGGAGGAATTAGCATTCGTAAGTACAACTCAGATGACTACAGGATTGACTTGGATACGTGGTTGACTGGGGAAGATTTCAATTTTTGTGCAAATCAAATCTACAAATTAATTACCAAGTATGAAGTGCTGAACCCAGGCTCGAAACTAATTCTAATATCCACTAGTCAGGTGGACTAGTAGATTCCACTTTTTCTAGTCGATTTACAAATTTCACTAAACCCAATATTATTCACCACAGTTAGTTATATTAAATGTTCACTATTTAATTTGGTTAGAATTTTAAGAATTACTAGTCCATTTGGACATTTCAAAAGTCTTTGACTATTGAACTACCCTTATTTGCCAGCCATTTGAACCTACTTCAGATTATATTGAAAGTCTTAATTTTGTTGTTATAACTCTTTTGAATTTGGTAAAATATCATCCCCTGTGTCACCATTGACATCAACTATGTCAATGATTCATGTCTAGCCTTAATTGACTGTAATACAACACTTTATAGAATTTCTAGTTTTTGAAAGAAAGAAAAAGCGTTACCTCTATCATGTAAATTCTTTTATAACATACTTACGAATTTTTGTATATGCGATACGACACAATTGCTCTAACCAATATCAGCCCTTGCTGTATCAAACTCCGAAACCTGTATCAGCCCCCGCCGTATCACACCCCAAAACCTGTATCAGCCCGCAAAACCCGTATCGCACCCCTTTCGGTAAACTTTTTCATTTTTCAATATTTCAAAAGAAAAAAAGATCATAAGATAGTAGATCTATCCATATTTTATTAATAAGTATGTAATAAACAGAATAAAACATGCCTTTTCCATATCACACCCAGTATCAACAAAGGCCCTAGGGCTGATATTGGAGTCTCGGTCGGGTTGATACTGATTGTGATATGGAAAAGGTATGTATTATTCTCTATTACTCAGAAGCAAAAGGCAGTATTGGCAACCCATGCTGATATTCCCAATACATGCTTCAGTGAAGCCAGGATCAAATTGTCATCAACAAAAATAAATATTCAGGTCATCAAATACCTGTAATATTGGTGAATAGAGGTCGCTTGCTACTAACAGTGATCATAAAACAAGAATTGTCTTCAAGAAATATTTTCTAGTCCTTTCAGAAATCAAAATAATGATCTGAAAAAGAATGTTTAACAATTGATGGGAGGAAAACATGTTCACTTTAGTCCTGGTTAGATAGTGTAATATTATAAATCATGTTTTCATTCATCTAAATGATAGATAAATCATTTTAAACACATTTTTACATGTGATACTGGTAGATTTTGAATAGAATCGGGTAAAACCTGGTCATAGTTATAGTCATAGCGTACATATAGCGGATAAAATACAACTTCGCTGTATACCGGGAACTTTTTCCCCAGTCAGACTTCCATCACTCACCAGAATAATCCATATTGGCTCAGTGTTAATTTTGCCCGTCACATTTAATTACTATGTATAGTATGTTGTTTGCTATATGATAAAGTCACCCTCATGACAGCGGGCAAAAAAAGGCGAAAATTAAACTGCAGCAAAAAAAATCCCAGTATACAGTATGAGGATGATTTCCAGACTCAGTTGATATGATTGATATTTAATAATGTAAAGGGTTTTTCTCACTTACCCAAACCAGTGAAAGATTAAGCAATGATAGATGTACTGGGCCCACTTGTATAAAACATCTCAAAGTTAAGGAAAATTCAAGCAATGTATTGTCTATGGGAAATCTTAGACTTGAGGAAATCTCAGTGGGACCTGGAGCTTTCAGTTTGTACAAGAAACGGCAATATTGAAATACACGTTGAGTGAATTAACACACATTTGAGTGGTGCCATATTTAAAACGTTGCTCATTTGTATATGTCTCTGGTTTACAGCAAGAGTCTGCGCTGAATTCCTTGGTACAGGAGAAGAACTCACTGGAACAGGAACTGCGAGACATCTTCGAAAAGAGGGAGTCTGTCGCCCAATGGGAAGCACAGATTTCTGAAATCATCAAGTGGTAGGTTGAATATGTTTGAAAGGTTTGCTAAGGTGAAGAGAAAGAGTCGAAATTATCATTTAACACACAAGAGTACCTTTGTAGCGTGTTACATGTTAAAAGATAAAACTAGTCTTTTGCAGCAATGCAATTTTTGTATTAGTTGGTAATATTTTCATATTTTGCTCTGTTGATCTGGACAGATTGAAAAGTAGCAATATATCATACAAAAAATTGTCTTTATGTAAATGTAGTATACTGAGCAATACATTACACGTACATATTTCTTAAAATTTAATGTAATGATTAATGCTTTACTTTAAAAAAATTGTAGGGTGAGCGACGAAAAAGATGCCAGAGGTTACCTACAAGCTCTGGCTAGCAAAATGACAGAGGAGTTAGAAAATCTCAAAGTGATGGGAGTGTCTGATGATTCGGTATGTTTCAATATCTTGTCTCCTGCTATACTTTGATACGGTAAATAGTTCACAGAGATTGATCAAAAACATAAGGAAATAAATTTTACAGAGAATGGAGTATGCTCTTAAAAATTTCAGTATAATTCCTTTCTTTTGAGTCAATTCCAAATAATATACCTCATCTCACAAAGTATTCTGTCTGTTGATGATATTTGATTAGTACATTGATTTACAATGAAAGGCAGCAATTAAATTTAGACATCGCATTGTACCCATCATACATTGTAGCCAAAGAATTATTTCACTTTACTTTTGGATGAAACTATGGCCATTTTCTTTTATCGCGGTCCAAATGGCTGAACTGGTTGTTCGTTTATGAAATAAGGTTGGACCTAGAAATCTTGTGCTGCTTTCAGGCGAGACTTGACAAAGCCTTATGTGGCCTGCATAAACATTTGCAGGTCCGCTAGTATTAATACCCGAAATGTCACATTACAGACAAACAAACCATTTGTTCCATTTAAATGAACGGGCCCTATAGTACCCCAAAAAAAGAAATCACCAAGTTTGAAAGATTGAAATTATGGCAATTTTGTGTTTTACTTGAAAGAATCGGCAGCGGTGGCGGAACCGACGTTCCCAAAGACTCGATAAGATGGAGCTGCTGAACCTGCAGTCAAGTCTGCAGAGTGAGATCCAAGCCAAACAACAAATCAGTGAGGAACTCAACAAGGTCAAGGCCGCTAATGTAGCCGGAGAGACGTGAGTAATATCAGGGTCACACCATCACGTAAAATCTATTAATGGTGAGCCGCTAATGTAGCCGGAGAGACGTGAGTAATATCAGGGTCACACCATCACGTAAAATCTATTAATGGTGAGCCGCTAATGTAGCCGGAGAGACGTGAGTAATATCAGGGTCACACCATCACGTAAAATCTATTAATGGTGAGCCGCTAATGTAGCCGGAGAGACGTGAGTAATATCAGGGTCACACCATCACGTAAAATCTATTAATGGTGAGCCGCTAATGTAGCCGGAGAGACGTGAGTAATATCAGGGTCACACCATCACGTAAAATCTATTAATGGTGAGCCGCTAATGTAGCCGGAGAGACGTGAGTAATATCAGGGTAACACAGTCACGTAAAATCTATTAATGGTGAGCCGCTAATGTAGCCGGAGAGACGTGAGTAATATCAGGGTCACACCATCACGTAAAATCTATTAATGGGTGAGCCGCTAATGTAGCCGGAGAGACGTGAGTAATATCAGGGTCACACCATCACGTAAAATCTATTAATGGTGAGCCGCTAATGTAGCCGGAGAGACGTGAGTAATATCAGGGTCACACCATCACGTAAAATCTATTAATGGTGAGCCGCTAATGTAGCCGGAGAGACGTGAGTAATATCAGGGTCACACCATCACGTAAAATCTATTAATGGTGAGCCGCTAATGTAGCCGGAGAGACGTGAGTAATATCAGGGTCACACCATCACGTAAAATCTATTAATGGTGAGCCGCTAATGTAGCCGGAGAGACGTGAGTAATATCAGGGTCACACCATCACGTAAAATCTATTAATGGTGAGCCGCTAATGTAGCCGGAGAGACGTGAGTAATATCAGGGTCACACCATCACGTAAAATCTATTAATGGTGAGCCGCTAATGTAGCCGGAGAGACGTGAGTAATATCAGGGTCACACCATCACGTAAACTCTATTAATGGTGAGCCGCTAATGTAGCCGGAGAGACGTGAGTAATATCAGGGTCACACCATCACGTAAAATCTATTAATGGTGAGCCGCTAATGTAGCCGGAGAGACGTGAGTAATATCAGGGTCACACAATCACGAAAATCTCTAATGGTGAGCACCAGCTCCATGTGTGTTCCCCCTGTGTATAGATCTGTATAACACGAATCTGATCAGTATCCGAGAGCAATTTGATGGTGTGTTTTTGTGTAGATCTAGGTCTCGCAAGGTTGTAGAATGTCTTTGGGACAATAAATGTAACGTGGAGTGTTTACATAGAATAAAGAAAATCATGATGTATGAAAAACTACAAGCATTGTTTTGATACAAAATCATTATTATCCAATCACAAATAAAGCTCCTTTAGTAAACTAAATATATTCAAGCTTGCGTTGTTCAAATAGTGCATTGATATAAGGTAGAAGAAGTTTCGAGGGTTCCTTCCTGATATAGTAGTTATACCATTGGCAAATCGCCCGCCACTTAATATTGGCAATCTTCTGTTTTATAAAGCGAGGCAGCATGACAAGCATTGGTGTTTTTGAATTTTATTAACATTTTAAAGAAATGTTTCTAGACACTGTTACAGTACCATATATATTGTTACATTTCAGTAAGATCCTGGAACTGGAGGCTATAATTGACAAGCTTAAGAAGGATCAAGAGGATCTCCAGGATGATTTAAACAGAATGTAAGTTTTAGAGGCAAGAACAACGTTTGAAAGGCAAGGGGCCAAAGAAGGTTGCCGAGGGCGACAGAAAGACGGGGGCTGTGGACATGTGTGTTTACAACACAACATCTTCCTGTTTAATCCTTTTACCAATACAGGGTCAATTAAAGCATGAACACTCCTTTTTAGACAGATATGTTGCACTTGAATTGAGACCGAAAATATATAAGCACTTTGCTATATTTATAGACTTCCGCTATAAGGATCATTTTGTATCTAAAATCTATGCATTAAAATATTCCAAAATGAAATAGCAAAACATAATTTCTGTTCCTGTACTTCTTTATTAGGAAATTCCTGAAGTAACATTTTGGTGGCTCCCTATTTATGTTTTGACACTATTTTTACATTAACTTCCTTTTCACTCCTAATGGTCAATGGTTTGATTCTTTTTTTGCAGGGAGAGGCCTGGTGATTCAAGTCTGATGAACTTTTTTAAGGGTCATTTTTCACTTCTAAATGATGTAAGTACTTTCTTGGAAAAAATATAAATTTGGAGTTGGATGAAATAATATATATAAAGTACCATGAAACAGATGTTCTGGTAGGATGAAATAGATTAATATAAAGTACCCTGAAATTGATTTTCTTTTGAAACAAATGTACCAAAATGTCATATTGTCGGAACAATGACTAAATCTTACAACAGTTGAAGATCACATTTGACAGTCTACTGATCTGTTGTTTCAGTCTGAGAACGAGAGCATGGCCGATGAGGACAGTGTAAGTGAGGATGCTTTGTCAAGAGCAGACTCGCGGACAGACTCGCGGTCAGACTTACAATTCGGTTCCGAGTCCACTATTGACAATATACCACACGCCAACATGCCTACAAACCCGGTGTCCACGTCGGAACAGGTGTACGACCAGCCCTGGGGTGCGAGTAAGGTGGGCTCAACGCCGCAGCAGAAGGTGCACAACTTCACCATGAAAACATTCACCACACCGTACAGGTGTAACCAGTGCACGTCGCTGATGATAGGCGTCCAGAGGCAGGGTACAATGTGTGAAGGTACGATTCAGAAACTAATTATAATGTGTAATTGTAATCCCACTTAGCATTAACTCCCAGTTTCAGCTTATGATATATATATGGTATCTTCAATCTGATATGGTGCTGTGTCATGTGTCAGCTTTTTCTTTTTTTTAAAACAGCCATCAAGGTCATTAAGAAGATTTTTACCAATTTTCAAGGTCATAAGGTTTAACCCTGTTAGAGTTATTCAAACCGTTCAAATTATTTAAGTCAGTTTGGCCAGAGTGATGATGCTTTGCCAGTAGCCGGTTTGGGTGAAAAGTTTTCAAATTTGTTCAAGTACATACCTTTAAAGTCAAAAAATATCGTTATTGATGTCATTGTTGTTCTATTTGTTTTGTAGAGTGTGGATACACCTGCCATGTACATTGTATGGAGAAGGCCCCAAATGTCTGTCCTGTACCACCAGATCAGAGTAAGTCCTGCCAGGTCCTTATAGCCCCATACATTTCTTGAAATTATAATAATATAAATATTCAGGTTAAAGACATACACAAAAAAAACGGCTGATATATACAATATATAGGGAGTTTGGAAACGTTATACATATTAGGCCCTTTACATAGGATAACACATCAAAGCCACGGAAGCCTGATTTCTAATGGGGTCCCTTGCAGAGGGGGTCGATAACTGACATGTGAATTTGTCGAAGATAAAAAAAAAACATGTCAGAAATTTGTTACATGCTGAAAGTTTTGTGAAATTAATTTTATAACAAATTTATGGAGCGAACCTAGTATCATAAATGTTATTTTCTTTTTCAGCAAAGCGACGTTTAGGAATAGATGTATATAAGGGCATAGGGACAGCCTATGAAGGATATGTTCGTGTAAGTATATATCATTCATAGCTAAAAACAGTAAGAATACTATTGCTACCAGGCATGCACACCATAACTTCTTGTTTCTTTACACATGTGCAATACACATTACTGAGGTGAGTTTGATCGTACTCTAGTTAGACCACAGTCGCTATAGTTGATGATCAAGCTTGCCCATTATAAGGTCATGATGACCTTCACCTCTAGGTCAAAGGTCAAATGAATACAAATTTTTCAAAAATGAATATTGTCTAGTCGACTGTTTAGATTTCTTCCTTAAAACCTACAGTCGACTTGCATCATCACAGTAAGTATGTAGTGCACTGTTAATAGGTCACCGTAACCTTCACCCCTACATCAAAGGTCAAATAAGTGCAAAATTTCCAGTAGAATTGCTGTTACTTTTGAACTGTTAAGAATATCTTGATAAAACTAAAGAACAGTTGTATCACCCACAGAAGGTATGTCGGGCACTTTTAAAAGCTATCTTGTAAATTGTTGAAAATGTTTACAGCAGCTGAATATTAGCTAATCTGTTTCAGGTGCCAAGATTTGGAGGAATAAAGAAAGGATGGGTCAAGCAGTTTGTTGTAGTCTGTGATTTTAAATTATTTTTATATGACAACATTTATCCTGACCGGAATTCTCCCAGTCATATAGTCCAGCAAATCCTAGATATGAGGTAAGACTCCTGCAGGAAATACCACACTGATAAGAGACTTTAGAATCTTTATGCAAAGGTTCAAGTTCACGCGTATCTCTTCTTGGCTAAATCTGAATGTGTTATCAATGTTTTCCAAGGAAAATGATATCAACGGATATAAGATTAAGGAAATGAGAATTAGTGTACATAAATCATGTTTGTAAAAATGGATAGGCGTAGTTATACAGTAAGAATACTGTCCAAAGGAAATGTTAAAAAAAGGAGGAATAAAGACATACCATTTGGGAGGGCGAGTGGCCGCTAACATCCGGGCCAACAAGAGTGATTAATATAAGTTAAAACAGTTGTTGTAAAATGAATGAAGTTTGCATTCTATTTATATTTGATAAAAATGAATGAGAAAGAGAATGGGGTAATGAATTTCTATTTTCCTTTCCAGAGATGAGGATTTTTCCGTCAGTCCAGTGCTACCTTCAGATGTGATACATGCCAACAAAAAAGATATACCTTGCATATTTAGAGTAAGTTACACCTTGGAAAAAACGAATTGGTGACATCAACACCAGAGTAAATCAGACTGATAGCTTAAACTATAATTTGTATCTGCTGCAGTAAGCCAAGGTTCTGAGAAGTCTTTCTTTACTGAATTGTTCCATAAAGGTATGATCATTTTTCATATTAACAAATTCAAGTGTAATATTAAACAGTTTGTTACCGGATTCAGAGTTATTTAAATGATATGAAATACATGTAGTAAAAAAAATTGTGTGTTGATAAAATATTTGTGTCAATAATAGGTAACAACTTCTGAGATGAATCCGCCAGGAAGTAAACATCAAGTGCTGATGTTAGCGGAAAGTGAACAGGAGCGACATCGATGGGTCGGTGCTCTCAATGAACTGCACAAACTTCTACGCAAGAACAAACTGCCTGACAAAGTTGTAAGTGATTGATCATGTCCTTCTAGAGATGATAAAGTCAATATGCAGTCAAAGTATATCTAATGTCATTTCAACATGATTGATTTTAAAAACAATGCTGTTATTTGGACACCATTAGAAGTCAAGTATATGATACTGACTGTGAAGTAATTTACCATGACATCTATGTCAAGGTGAAGGTATGATTCTGGTATTTTACCATTATTGCCCTCTGATGTACCTGTGATATCAGTTGGTGACATAGCTGTGATATTGTGTGGCAATCGGTTTATAGTGACATTCTTATGTATGTTGTATACCGGGAAAAAAATTGTGACATTTTAACTTTCGCCTGTTTCACTCGTCACTATGAGGACAAATTTATCATGAACAGCGAATATTAGCACATAACATATAGCCTTTATAGTAATTACATGTGAAGGGTGAAATATACACTGGGTAAACAGGGATTTTACCAATGGAGGGCAAATATTTGACTGGGCAAATTTCTCCTGGTAAACAGTATTGTGACATACATTTGTGGTACTGTTTTCTTGTGACATACGTGTGACTATCGCTGTCTTTGTTTCAGGCCTTCCAAGCTCAGGAGGTGTATGACAACTCCCTGTCTTTAGTGAAGAGTAGCTTGTCAGCTGTTATCCTGGGTACGTCTCCCTATGTTTATCTATATTATTGCTTTTAAGATAGTTGAGTCGCTTGATAAAAAAATGTCCAGTCATGTTGCATTTGAAGATCGCTTAACTATTCACAAAATATAATACTACTACAAATATGTATTCAATACTTGAAATGTTTTCATTAATAGAAAAACTGATTTAGACAAGATTACAATTTGTGATTTGTTGACAGAACCTGACAGAATCCTGATGGGGACTGAAGAGGGGTTGTATGTGGCACAGTTGAACAAAGACGGTAAGTTGTCTGTTTGACATTTAAGATTTTTGCAGATTTCTTAATCAAGTTTATATTTGTGTGTGTATTACACTTCCCAATGTTGTCTGATCTACAAAATCCATCTCTGTGTTATGTCATGAACAACCTGGTAATGTTCAAGATGTTACATTAAGGAGTTTGATGTATAAGTTTATCCTGTATTCCATAGTTTTAATGATCAATACGAAAATGTGGAGAAACCAAAATAAATCAGTTTTGTCAGAGAAATGTTCAGCCTTTTGGCTGGTATCCACATTTTGCAGGAATTAAGTGTGCAATTCAAACTTAATTTTTCTAATGGAAAAATTAATTTTTAGCTTTTTTGTCCTTAAAGCTCATTTACATCTGTTTTATGAGTCTAGAATTCTAAAGGTTTCCTTTAAGTAAGACTTGATATTTTCCTGGGGCCCAAGTTTTGTGGTTCATGGAAAAACACCATTTCGTGTGTGCATGAATTCGTAAATTACGAGAACCCACTCAATTGGAGAATAGCTTAAATATTCATTTTGTGTTGCAGTGCTGATCCGCGTTGGAGACCGCAGTGAAAAGAAGACTGTGTATCAGTTAGAACTGGTACTGGAGGAACAACTTGTGGTATTCATTAGTGGTGAGTTCACATTGGCACGGCACAGATTTATTCCCAGTAAATCAAATCCTAAGTTTTCCCAATTTTTGAAGGTCAATTCTTTATGTGATAATAAAAACTAATTGTCTTATCTAGTCATTTATGAGTTGTATATTTATAGTTCGGAGCTATGAGAATATTCGGACATTTTATGACCCTGCCACTTTAGTAGAGGGATTTAGTAATTATGTGTTGGAATTTTCTGTTGGTCTGTCTGTCTGTCTGTCTGTCTGTCTGTCTGTAAAACATCTGGGGTAAACTTTGTGTTTAACTCAATATTACTGTCAGATACACTGTACTACAATTTCCATTGTTATTAAAATTTATATGCATATAACTTTCAATAATTATGTCATAGCCCATTGTAAACTTTTCATTCAAAGACTTATAATCCAGAATGGAAATTGATCAATTTTTATGGAGCATCCCTAGGCCAAAGAGATAAATAAGCTACATGATGTGTGGTCACCCTGGGGACAGTGTGACAGTGCCCATCTTCACAAGGACTACTACTTCAGTACAGATAAAGAGATTTAAATCAATTTGTATATAGGGTCTATGGCCAGTTGTATTAAGGCATTCTGTGGGCCTGGCACAGACTCCCTGGGGTCTGAGGAAATAATGGTAAACTTTGGAAAAGACTGCTTTAGAATAGAAATGCAAATTTTTTGACTTCAGTTCACGTTGTATGCTTAATCGCTAAAGCTCTGTTTTACCTCTAAACTTGTATGCTATGATTGCAGGTCGACAGAAGCATATCAAATTGCTGCACGTGTCTGCATTAGAAGGCCATGATGGTGATCCAGTTAAGATCCCGGAGAGCAAGGGATGCAGTGTGTTCTGTACAGGACTTATCCGACAGAGCTGCTGCTCTTGTCTATGTGTGGCTATTAAGCGGACTATACAGGTGTACGAACTCAACAAGACACGCCAGAAGCATAGGAAAATGAAAGACATTCAGGTCCCGGGACAAGTGCAGTTTATAGAAATTATGAATGAAAGACTTTGTGTGGGATACCCGTCATACTTTGCAATTTACAGTGTCACAGGTGATGCCGCACCAATGAGTAAGTTTGTCTTGTCTGCATAGACTGTTACGTTAGATTATAAATAACAATTACAGATAAAGAAGTGACTAATCGTCACATTGAGATGTCTTACATATTCTTACATAATTGCTACAATTGGGTAAGGTTTAATGCAGATATGAATTAATTTTGACCATAATAGGATGTGGAAACATAAACAAAAACTATTTCAGTCTCTATTTTCTAATTTAGAAAATGATGTACATTAAAATAATTCATTTCTTGCGTTTGTTCCTTGCAGCACTTGTGAATTCTGAGGACACCAGTCTGCAGTTTGTGATACAGTCACAACAAAACTCCCTGCAGGCAGTGGAGTTGTCTCAGAAGGAGTACCTATTAGTATTTAGTGGTAAGTGGTGATTTCTTATTAACTAGGATAATAATGCATTTCCAAGACAAACACATAGCTTTCTGGATATGATATGAAGGTTACGAGAGAAAATGGTCCCCAAACTGGTGATGACTCATGGTTGTACAACTCTCATTAATTAATTTTCAAATTGTAAATGACACTTGCTTAACCTAGGGTCTTTACTCAATTTGAAAATTAAATGTTTTGAGGAAGTTGAACATGATAACCAACCAGCACACGTTTAGGTGGGGGAGCCTAGAACATGTAATGTTCCAGACTGTATCAGTTGTTCAGTAGGCTATACAAATTTAGCAGGATACCACTACATTAATGTTCCTTTCCTGGTAATTATTCAGTTGAGATAACATGGCTCTTTTTCTTTCTAGTTTCTGGCATATATGTAGACAACAATGGTAGAAGAAGTAGAGCCCAGGAACTCATGTGGCCAGCTCCTCCAACAGCAGTTGGTAAGTTGTCCGAGTATACAGCGACCATCTTGTGATATTTATATCATGTTCGTGAGGAGGAATATCGCAGGATTATTTATTCAGACGTAATTTAACAAGGAATACATATGAGTTACTCCAACTTTTCCAAATTCATATCCGTGCTAAACAGTTGTTTGAAGCACATTTGCAAATCGAAATATTCACAAATATTCAGACAGTTCCTGCATATTCACAAATATTCAGACAATTCCTGCATATTCACATATATTTAGACAATTCCTACATATTCACAGATATTCAGACAATGCGAACATATTCACAAATATTCAGACAACTCCTGCATATTTAAAGTACCAACCTGATTTGTAATTTTAATATAAAATAGATAATATCAAGTTTTGTTAAATGTTATCAGAATTTTTCAAGATTGTATTGAAAATGCAGAACCTTGATTCACATGCTAAAGTTCAATATTGTTACTTGTTGCTTTGGTCGGCCGTATGCCTGTGACACCACTTTGAAGTTGCACTGTTAACTTGGTTTTAGGGTTGCTGTACTTCTAGTAAGAACTTTCATATATGTCATTCATAAATTAATTCATATAAAATAGCAAGTTGATTTGTTTGTGACATCTATCATTGGGTGGTTAGGTCCTTGGATAGTAAAACTGGCCCTTCACGGAGATGGCCGGGATTTTATTCCCTGGTTGGATGTGAGAAAGGATTGGGTCATCTGCCAGACCATGCAGGTGGTTTTCTCCAGATTCTCCAGGCTTTTCCTCCAACGTTAAGAGTCTTTGATTCCCGTCAAGGCCAATGAGAATGATTTATATAAGTTGGAAAATCTTTATTTGTTATTGTAATTAAATGAATATAATGTCATCATTGTCTTATTTCAGCGTACAGTGATCCCTACCTCATGTGCTATTCAGAAAATGCCATATTTGTGTTCGATGTTCATTCGGCAGAGTGGATACAGACTATGTGCTTGAAAAAGGTAAGGATTAGAACGACAGGAGTTTGTAGTGGTAGTACCCTATCGCTGAAGTCAGAGAGAATTGGTGTAGGCTTGTCTGTCTCTTATTGTTCTAGACAGTAATGGCTATGTTTGGACAGATTTTGATAGCACTGGCCAACAGGTGAACAAAACAAAAGTAGGGCATGCTTAGATTTCTTATCAAGTGACAGCACACATTGTAATTAGAATCAGGTGATGGTCTCAAACCAAATAGGTTTCTAAATATGTTCCAATAGTTTTTAACTCATTCACCCCTGAAATTTCATAATGAACTATTCCAACCTTTGAATTGGAAGAGTTCAAATGTGTCTTCAGGGGTGAATGAGTTCATTTACACCAAGCTCAATGGTCTTAATAGAATTAACGAATAAAAACTGGCATTTTTTCTATCATTCAAACTAATGCAGGATTATTCTCCACATTTGAATTAATTGGATGTTAAAGATTGTGGAATAAATTAAATCATTTTGTTTTTTTGACAGTTATTTCATAAATTCGTAATGATGTGCAGATTTTTTGTTTGTTTATCCTCTAAGATGGTGATTCTATGATATTTTTTAAATACTTTAAGATCAATTGTTGTTGTTTTGTTGTTGTAGACAAAGCCCCTGAACAGGGATGGCTCTCTGAACCTGATGAATATGATGGACTCCCAACACATCATCCACTTCAAGAACGTCCACCAGGGTACGGATACTTTGTAACACCCATAACTGTCCTTATGATGAATAACATTGGGGGAATCTCAGGTTTGAAGTTGATCATAGAAAATGGGTTTATTATTAACAGATTTCAGTAGTACAGGATACATATCTTGGAATACTTTTCATTTGTACAGTCCTCCATGTTTGAAAGGAGTTCTGTTGCATACCGTCATAAATTTTGAAAAAAATGCATTTCATTTCTTAAATATTAATGATAACAATAATAATAATAATAATAATTTGAGGTTTTTGTATACAGCTTTATCACAATTTAGTTAGTAGGTCGTCTCAAAGCGGTTCAAAATTATTATCTGTGGATATAAGGCCTTTGCAACCAGCTAATATCTTTCTCCAACCGCCTGGGGCGCATACAGATGATGCTGCCATTTTGGCGCTCACAGCTAGTATTCGATAATTCTAGCACTACCCAACCACATACTCATTTACAGCTTAGTAGACTGGAACAAGCGGAGTTAAGTATCTTGCTCAAAGATACAACACGGTGCCATGACGTGACGCGAACCCGCCACCCTTCGGTCATGAGATAGGCGTCCTGCCACTAGACTACTTTTTTTTTTTGCAGGAAAACAGATTTTTGATATTCATACAGTCTGAAGTTTTTATGTATCTTGATGATTATAGAACGATGGTTTTGACTTGATGTTATTGAATTACAGAAGAAGAAAGGCTGGCCATCAAGGAAATCTTCAAAAACAGGAGTGTCAACAGGAACAAGAGACGGTTCTCTTTCAAGACGAGAGAAGATCACGACCGAGGCTCTAAAGGGTGAGATAGGATGCTCTGCCTGAAACCTGTCGTGTTCTACTAAGTTGAATGTTTAGATGGTTTGCTGATTAAGTAACATTTATGAGATGAAAGTTTATTTCAAGAGTTGGAATGATTTACAAAGGAATGCATTGGGTTGATATTCATGATAAAATGTCAGGATTTTTACAGCTTTTTGCCAACTGTTGTGAATGATTTATTTTTTAATGCTATATTTTGGCTAACTGAATGTTTCAAGTTTTTTGTTCTGTTGCAAAATGGCAGCAAATTAATTATTGTGATTAATAACGACTTCTTATACAATTTATGTGCAGCATGATTCTTATTTATTTGCTTTATATCATTACTACATGTATCTTTCAATATATAGACTGACACACTGTAATATTAAAAACCATTAATGTTACTCGGGCATAAAGAATCTGGTGCGATGTGTTTGCCGGAATCACACTCTTCTAATGTTTTGGAGCAAAGTTTATGACTTGGATACAAAAAATCTAGTGGGATTGGTTGCACATACATACATAGTCTATAGCATCAGCTTGTCAATACTACTAGATAGTGATAAGTCTTGGGAGGTCTACGTAATAAAAAGGAAATTGTTTTACTCAAAAATATGGATAGCATGACATCTTTAATTGCTATGAAAGCTTCAGGAATTGCTTCTTTGAATGTTTCTTGCACACATCGATATCTTCTACAGCTATCTGCCAATACTAGTATATCTTTCATTACGAAAATAACTCCATTATTGACAAGCAGATGCTGGTCCTGGTCCTAGCTCTGTATATATTGAGATCTCTTGTGTTGTAGGATCAACAGTACTATTTGTATTCAACATTTACTGAAGTAGCATATACCCTATCCACTCTATAAAGGCATCACATCTGACTGATGTTGTGTATATCTTTGTACTAAATCAGACCGGTACACATGTGCAAACAAAAGAATCACTTCCAATTTATTGTATTAGTTGGTTGATGCTGTGGGCATGGGTTTTACACTAGGATATCATCTTAAAGAATCTTTTAATGTTAACAGTTTCAGTCACATTTTGTTAAGAAATTGAGTTTGTTAAATTTTTCAAATTCAAAAATGAAAATACCCAAAACATGAATACAAAGGGATCAATCTAGGATATTTTTCACACAAGGCAAAGGTATTTTCCTGCGAAGAGTTATTCAATTTTTCCTAAAAATATATCGTGGTTCCAAAACCTTACAACAAAGCGTTACATTGATGGAGTGCATCAGTGCTTTTTATCAAAACTACAGTGTAAACATAAAAATCCATATTAAAAAAGATGAAATATTATATACAGTTTATTTTACAGTTTTACTTGAACTTTATATATTCCAATGCCAAACATCACTTGGCTGTAATCCCTCCCTAAATGTACAGAGAGTTGTATTGCCTCCATTCCTAGATTGGCCCCTGCTAAAGTGCTATCCTATTTACAATGTCAAGTCCGCCACATGTCAGAGTATCAAAAAAGTGCCCGTTACAACTGTAGTATACTGACTGAGTTACAAGACAGCTGCTATTTTGTGTTGACTACAGGCCCGAGCGGCGCTCTCGTGAAATTTCCGCACCAATATCATTCAGCCATGTAGCCCACATGGGTCCAGATCAGGTCTTTCCTTCAAGCATACCAATACCAGTAACCCACGGCCAGTAAGCTGTCTTACGTAAAATTGTACTGTGTAGTGGCTTAGTGCATGCATACCTGCTTCCCATGTAATCTTTTTTCTTGGAATGTATTTAAACCGTGCTGTCTACTCCTTGTATTTAATCACTGATCTACCAACTCAGCTGTGCATGTTGCTTTTTATAGAGAACTTTGGCTAGGTGCATGTTTGTTATCTAAGTTAAATACAAACAAAATGTCTGTTCCAGACAAGTTAATCTCGGTTCCTTGGGCTTATTATTTTTTTTATTTTTTTTCCAAACCTAACAGCTATGTACAGTTTGACTAAATGCTTTTATGTCGTTGGCCTGACGTCTGCTTTTTGATCTCTCTCGGTGCATGTGGTTACATGTGGTTACTTGGTGGTCAGGGGATTGTTTTGTCCCATTAGTGTTCTCATTAGATGGACATGTGTTGATGATGGACTTCAGCAATTTGTTCTGGAAATATACATTTCATGTTTGTTGCAGCTTATCAGTACGTTATACATGTATATTTGTATTTAGAGGCTGTTTTATCAGTCAAGTTTTTTGGGCTCGGCCAATTATCATATTTATATAATAAATTATTTAACAGTTGCTATGCAAGGTTTAGTTTAATTGTGGTGTCGGTTCAATTGAAAAATGTTTACTTTGGTCACAGGTGCAATTTTTTATCATAAATAAAATTTATCATTGTAAAATTACCTTTCCAGCATATTGTTGTGGAAAAAATTAACTCAAAGATGAAGATGTATATGGATATTAGATTTTACAGAGCATGTTAAGGTTGACTTATGCTGTTACAATATTTAATGCAAGAAATTACCATTTCAACTGCACAAATCAAAAGTTCAGATTATGAAGAAATATAATTAACATCACACAAACACCATAGTCTGCCTTTAACGTAATGGAAAGCATTATGCACTGGTGAAGAGAACACTTTTGTATGTCATGTGATGATCTCTCGCACAGCACGTTTCTTTCAAAATCTGGACCCGTTAATCAAACAAATATTTGAGTCTGATGAATTTTTTAAAAGTCATTCTAAACTTTGCTTCTCAACAAAAACCACACTGGATCGTGATATGTTAAGAATTTGGGGTCTTCATCAATCCTGGCTAAGAAACAGTGACCCGCTTATCAGTTTTAAATCACAGTATGTTCCACAATACAGAAATTTACGGAAATCATTTTACAGTACACAATTTATATAAGCGGCAAGATCTATAATTCGGCTTTGAGCCTTTCACAGAGCTTCAGCTATGTTTGCTTTAGTTACCTATGTTTCAAGACAAGTATATGCGGAAAAGGAAATGAATTGTTTGTTTTTAAACCATGAAAATTGAAACCAGTTGACAGCATGACCAGCTGCAATTAATCGATTGTATACGGTTTACATTATCTCAAGTTATTAAATATCAAAATGTGACGTAATTTGTAATAAAAGTGAAGAAATTATTAAATGCATGAAGAAACTTTTGAAACTGTCAAAATAAGTTCAGAAGGTGATGAGAATAGAATGTTTGGTAGGCTAATTAAATCTGTAGAATGTGTATAACTTAATTGTGTGTTTTGCAGGTCTGAGAGAAAATCAAGAATAATCTCCGGTCCAACCAACTTTACCCATGTGGCTCATATGGGTACAAACATGGACATGAAATCACTCATCGATCTCCCCAAGGTATTTAATTGTTTACAGTTGATCTCGGTACATATAAATCAAACAGCAAATAAGATACTAGTGCCAAAAACACACACTACTCTTAAGATATGTTGATTACAGCTACATATCACTATCTGCATGGAACAACTAGATTAGTGATGAATGTATAGTGCTAATGAGCCCAACAAAGGCTATATAACTATTACAGTTCAAACATTAAATGTACTAATTGTTTTTCTCGCTTTACCAGCCGGTGGGATCATCTGCCCCTCCCCCTGTAGATAGACCGCCCCCTGACACTACCATACAGAGGGTGCGAAACATCTTCCAACCTAGTATGAAGTCGGTGCAGGAGGCTCAGCTGAGAGGTGCCCGGTCACAACCCAACGGTAGGTCCAACGGTGAGGATAATAGGGCATGCATGAATCATCAATCAAAATGAAAAGTTTACAGTTTTAAATTAACATATTTGAGCTTAATAATTTTGATTCAATAAAAACAAATAAGTAAAAAAAAAGAAACATTGAAAATAATTCACATCTTAATAAGATGAGGTTTATAACGAAGTTAGTTTCCTGACTAGGAATCAACATAGTTATATGGCTGTTTTTCCTCAATGATCTATCCATTTCTTAAACATGAAAGGATTGCATCATTCCTCATGTATGTTCAACTTAATTGGCGTAAAAAAAATGACAATTATCGCAACATCTTTCTCCAATATTTCAAGACACTTGTTGGAAATTTTAAGGTTTTTTCTTTAAATGATAATAAAACTTACCTCCATGATTATAAAATTTAAAAGGACATTGGACAAAGCGTAATGTAGGCGAAACAATTCTAAAACCCTTTGTCAATGATTTGTCATAACAGGCAGTGCGAGGCGTGAATCGCCGTCCAAAGTGGGGGGTGGAGCACGTCCTACGTCCTCCACCTCCTCCATCTCTGATAGTCCCGAGTTGTCAACCCACGACCAGTCTGCCTTCGCCGACGTCACCAGCAACATGTTTGAGGTAGGCACGGCTCGAGAACCTAGCTAGCCTCACATATAGGGCTTTCTTAGGGAATACATAGGCTTTTCCTTAGGGCAATTTTGCAGTGTAATAATGCATTTATAGAGGCACATTAATTCTTAGTCCAACCTGATGCTTTGGTAGAAATATACAATCAGTTATAAGTAATATTGATTATAAATACAGTTTAAATTTGAAATTTATCATATTTTACATATGATTATGAAAGGAAGTAGTTTAATAATTGTTGAGGAAATATTGGATAAGGAATCACGAAACACTGTTCTTTTTTCTCTTTTTTATCTCGCAAAATAGTAGAGCATATAATTATGGTGAATTGGTAATTATTTCGATGTTCCACGTCCTCCCCGTTACATATGTACACATGTCATGAAGCCCTTTCTGTTATGTACCGTCACTCGAAGGTTTCTGTTTCACACACACTGTATGATCTGTCTTACTTCCTAGTCTATATGTATTACAGCCTTCACATAGCCCGAGTTGACTCGTGAGTTACATCTTTATGTACTGTACTGGGAACAAACACACATCCCTGGGATGTACAGACAGTGCTCAATAGTATTCCGACTACAGAACCTGGACATGACTTACACATCTACATTACATTTCAATAATCTGATAATATTCATTTTGTTAGACATGATATTCAACTTGGTAAATGGATCGGTATTGTTTTTCTTCAAAAACTAGATAATGCAGATGATATTTTCGGACAATATGGTTACTGTATACTAGGAAATTTCCACCGCAGTTAAATATTTTTGCCTTTTTTGCCCTCCGTCATGAGAGCAAATTTATCATTACAGCGAATGTAAGTAAACAGCATGATAAACATAGTTATTAAATGTAAAGGGCGAAATTGACATTGGAAGAAAATTGATTTCATGGGCAAAGGGCGGTAGTTTGACTGGACGAAAAGTTTCTGGTATACAGTAATTGTGTTGTTTTGCATTCAAAATTCAAAAATTGTCTGACAAGAATTTAAAAATTATGGGTAATGATTTAGAAAATGAAAAACAAATGTTGTGTAAGTCATGGAGCCTAGAACTGAGTCGAGTTTGCTACAGTATAGTCGGTAGATGTAACACAAGTTAAAGAGGCTCCTGTGAAGAACTCTATGTCTGCACACACTGTGTGTCATATCCTTTGTATGCACTGAGAGTCTATGTACTGTATTATTTATATAATCTTCAACCAGTTCTCTTCATGTGAGACTTGATTGGCCGGCGTTACTAATGGTGTACTACTACTACATAATCCATTTTGCTTCCCTTCAGGTGTTTAAAGGTCCCCCTGGGTCGCAAGAGTCTGTTAGTGGCAGTGTTTCCAATCATACATATGAAAGCACATGGCAAAACTACTGAACAAATGAGCACACAGATTATGTAGCTGAGGTTTCTCCACTTTTTACTTCCATGTTATATTTATATATTGTGCACTCCTTGAGCTAACCTTCATTACCAGACCCCAAGCTTCTTATTCACTTCCTCTTTTGTTCTGTTGATATATACCTGGTGGGAATGGCTGATTAGTCCGGTAATGAGGAAAGAACATTCTTTTTTTAATAACATTTACCAAAATTTGTATATTTTTTAACAGTTTAAAACTTGGTGTTCAGATCAGTATTTAAAAATCTAATGAAAGGAAAATGTGATATATTCATAATCGTCACTAATTTCAGTAGTGTAGTACTTACTGTGCAAGTAACTTAACAAGTTAACATCAGGGGGAAATTTTGTGTCTTTTCTTACGTCGAAATGCTGCAGTCATTCCCACCATAGGTTACTTATTGTTTTACATTACAGCATTGCATGACCCCAGGCCGCAGCCCTCTGGGTGTGTGCCACTCCTTCTTGGCATGTCCTTTCACAGTTACCTCCCCTACCTAACCAGTTACCTGTGTACTGGATGGGAGACAAACTTGCCATCTGTCAATGTTGTTGCATGTTTTTTCCTCTTTGAGTTTTTAAACAGACTGAACAATATACTATACATACAAATATATTTCTATAGCAATTAGACATCTTTGAAATTCTGTCCCATTAGGATTTCGATTTTTGATGGATCCAAGTTCAGCGCAGGTAGTATGATTGATATTGCTCACTGGGAATGAAATAACCGTATGTAATGGGACAATACAGTGCAGCAGGCTTACTGGCTATCTCATTTTGGCATGGTAGATTAATCTTGAAGTTGGAGAGCTTAGCAAGCTGATGTCTAAAGATGATGGCTTGAAATCATCACAGATCTAGAAAAAGATCTGGAGATCGAAAATTAGCGAACAGAAATGAGATGTTTAGTATTGACTGCATTAGTATTTGTGTTGATTAGAAATATGAAACAGTATTGATAGAATTCTTATATATTAATTACTTACAGCATACAATGTATAAATATTCACAAATCTGTTTGCATGGTCAGAGTTTGTACATGTTACACATGCTAGATTTAAATTCAATGGTATGTTTTTAGTCAGGGAAGTTGCAGCAAAAAAAATTAAAAAAAAATAACTTGGTTGTACTAATTTGTTTTCTTCCAGAAATTCAAAATGTGTTTGTTTTTTAACCATATGCAAGTTTACAAGAAATCATGAAAAAAACATTATATTAAAGTATTGTGCTCATCAAAATAATGATATTGGTAACCTAGTGTTGATTTTTAGGTGAAGGGTACTAACATGTCAAACTAAGTTATAAGTAAGTCCTTTTCAAAAGAACTATTCAATAAAAATCTTATGTTGCCATATACTTTACAGAATTGTAGTTGTTTACCAATATTATCAATCAGGAAGTACAAATTCAAAAATGAGTCGAGAATTATTGGCTGAAAAATCTATAAGTTCACAGGAGAAGCTACTTTAAGCCAGAAAAACTCCCTTTGGTTGTTTCATCTTCCTTATTGAAGGGAGATTACTCTAGATAAAATATGGAGTGGAACTCTCCTTTGTGGTTATAACTGATGCAGTAGTACCCTTCACCTTTAAATGTAATATAGGGTTTTGGAAACAACTGATGATCAGCATTGTTAATAGTGAAAGTCGTTTTGACTTGGACAGTGGGATAGTTAGATGGAAATGTTGTAGACTAGTAGTAGGGGTATTATTATAGTAAATCAATGGAGAATGAAAAGATTGGGTCTACATATTATAGCTAGATCATCATGACAACTTAGTGTACTGTTTAACTGTATTAGGTATCATACCAATGTGACTAATGTACTGTTAAACGGTATTTGGTACCATACCAATGTGACGTATAGTGTTATGGGATAATATAAGTTTAAATGTGTATTGTACAACAGTGTTTTCTAACTAGGCTGTCCGTGTAAAATACATTCTAAGGTTCTTAACATTGCTTTGCATCAGCTTAGTCATACTGTCTTTTTGTAAGCTGTCTGTGATTTTTTGTTGGCTTAGATATAATACTTAATGTTCATTTGTTAGCTCTCTGCAATCTGTTGTCGTGGCTGAGATAATGTTCTGATGTCGATGGGCATTGACGAGGCTTACGTAAACATGTGTAATGTAGAATGACAACAGACATAGATAAAGCTAAGATCTTTATATGATTATGTGTTAAATATTTTGCAACTGCTATGCCAAAATAGTCACCAGGGTTGAAGGCATACTGAACAATCCAAAGAAGGGGAGAACACTCTGGCAACTTTTTTGCCATAGTAGCTAAAAAATAAAACACTGTTGTTGCTGTTATTCTGTTTGTTCAAAACCACAATGTTGCAATTTATCAGAGAAATACCCTGCAGAGTTTAGGTGATCTACAGTTCAAGAATTCTGTTATTCAATCATTTGAATTAGTGAAAGTATGGCTTTTTACACAGAACTACAATCACAATGAAAGTCATTGATCGGTAACTGTAGGCCACACCTACAGCATATAAATCAGACATAGTCAATTGCAACGCAACAGCTGACCAGACGATATTTGCATAGTAAGTTTACACCTTTAAACTTTACTTCTATGAATAATTTACTATTAAGGAAGATACATGAACATATGATAGACAATAGAAAATGTTAAACAGGGAAAATCTGAGAACAAAATTTTAGCTTAAGTACTACTAACTGAAGCTAAAATTTTGTTCTCAGATTTTCCCTGTTTCACACATTTGATAACTTATTTAGGAAGATGTCAATGGTTTTGATGGTGATTATGCATTTCCAGTTTAGCGCAGCAGGGTTAGTTGAGTGCTACCAGTAGGGATACATATAGGAGGTGGCTTTGTAATACAATATAACTACTGTTACCAAATATCGATGGTAACGCTTTGACTCTTGATTTTAATAACAATCATTTCCTTAAAAATAAGCCTCACACGATAACTTTGTACACACACACACAGTGTGTTGTTGTTGTTGAAATCACTTCCAAGCTTGTTATGCACTCCTATAATTGATTAAAAACGTTGTTTTGACTTCTACTGCCCAGAACCATAATATTCTAAAGACAATTTGCTTATAAACACATCTATTAACAAATCCGTTTTTTTTTTACCTTCAAACTGAAAAATTTACATTTTCACATTGTTTGTAAATTTCTGTTCCTTTGCTATTTTGGTAGAGATACGACATATGTTTGAATAATGAATAAGTAAAAATATGTTGTATTTTAGATGTTCCCTATGGCATTGTTAATGGCAAAGATGTAAAACTGGATATGTGAACAAAATGATAAAATTAGTTATCATGTATAGCTACTTGGTAATAATGTGTAAAACTAGTGCGAACTATACAGGCTTTTTGGTCAGATCATGTTTTATAAGGTAACATTCTAGATACATATGTTCACCTTATTTGAATAAAATATCTGCAGTTGAAAATGTAAAAATTATTCCAACCCTTAACTCATTCACCTCTGAAGACACATTTGAACTCTTCCAATTCAAAGTTTGGAATAGTTCATTCTGAAATTTCAGGGGTGAATAAGTTAAAAATTTGACTCAATCCATTTGCTTCCGCCACCATCTGTCCACCACATACCAGATGGGGATGTCTAAGAGCTAGATCCTGCCCTGTTGTCTACTCCTTCGCTTTACACATAATTGCCGGACAAACTATTAGAGTAACTCTCTCGAAATTCATTTGAATTCATTCCAATTTTATTTTATTTATTTTTTAATTTATTTTACTATAAACACTTACTAAGATAATTGTATTTAATTTGTCTAACTTGGAAACCAGTAACATTAACCTTGTTTTATAAAGAACGCATGATGTTAACTTTTTGAAAAACAAATCACCAAGCTTATATGCATTTGGACACAATTTAAAATGACAATATGATTAGAAAAGGCAAGGATGAAGTTGGAAGATTTGTTTGCACTTCAATTTCTTGATTAATCCATTTTCAGAGTTTTTGTAATTTTCTTAGGTAAAGGTATTATGCAATTTTAAGAAAACATGATGCTGGGACCATTTAATTATATAAACTGATGTTGTTATTTACGTTACATTATGTACATTTTACTCTAACAGAAAAACCTTGTAAAATGCTGTACAGTGTTGATGCAATGTCAATGATATTTACATGTATAAAAACATAATAATATGACAGCAATCGTTTCTGTGAGGAGAAAAAAAATCTCGACTCAAGCCAAGGTGTATATTTGATTTTCTTATAAATGACAGATAATCTTCAGTATCAATTTCACTAATGATATGTGCTGATGATAATTTGACAATATGTGTGACAGTGTACTAAATTTTTGCGTCGTTGTGTTGTAGGATGGGGAGGGGTTTGAGCGGCCACGTATGCGCCTGTCTCTGGCCTCCACCAACAGTAACTTCAGTAGTCCCCCACACTCCACCAGTGGCAGTCTTTCCGAGGACCGAGACCCCGGCGACAATGACCAGGACGTTGACTGTACTCGCCTCTGATTGGCTGGAAGGTGACCCCAGAAAGAGGTCACCCGTGTGTCCCGCCCGATGCAGCCCTGGCGGTTATCTCGCCATCACTGGTTACTTGCTTTATGTAATGTGTGGTCTCCTGTCCCAAGTGTTGACGACACGGAGCCGTCTCTGCTATGTCTGTACTGACCTGGACAAAACCTGTTGGTAGGCTACAGTCTGTGGCAACTTGATCACCACTCTCATATCAAACACAACGTCAAACCCAGCCGTGAACATAAATCAAGAAATGCAGCATTTTTTTTTCTTCTACAAAACAAAGCAATGGGATGCTTGCTTACTGCTGATCATTGATATAATCGGTATTATTCCCGTATATATTTAGTCCTATCTATTAACCTGTAGCATGAGCACGGTGTCTACAACTCAAAATCTAAAACTCTTTATCCATTGTACTTTGGAGTCGGCCAATTTAAACCTTATTTAATCCTGAAAAAATTAACAGAAATATGTAGGAAAAACACGTTTTGCAATTTTAAAAGGCAAACTGATTGTTTTTGTTTTATTTTGTACAATATTATTTATCATGGAACCTTTTTGAATTCCTAAACCATTTTCTTTTTTGGTGAAGAAATAACATAACCATGTATTTATATGATGATGACTATCATAAATGGATGCTTTAAATTTACACTGCAAATTCCTTTTCAAGGAGTGATCTCTTAGTGTTACCCTTTGTAAGGAGTGATCTCGGGTGTTACTTTTGGTTGTTCTACACAATATATTACGCCTACATATTGCCGCCATTACAGATGAACCTGTCTCATTCTGGTGTGAACATTTACGTACCGAGGTGTGTAATCGAGGTGATGTGTGACACATTACAGTCAGTTTGTATCATCACTGCCCCTTAACTCATTCACCCCTGAAGACACATTTGAACTCTTCCAATTCAAAGGTTGGAATAGTTCATTATAAAATTTCAGGGGTGAAGGAGTTCATATTGTCTTCATTTCATTTGTGTCGAAACTTCACCACCTCTTGGTATGTACAGCACATCACAATACACAAGTCATAAATGCGAAACAAGGTCGTACATTTCAAATAAGTTTACCTGCATACCATGCTCATAAGGACTTGTAATCAGGTTAGGATATTCGAAATATCTTGTAGGGTGTATTGTTTTGTACAATTTAATGTCAAAGGTGGCATTCTATGAACAAATCTGTAACTAATGCAAGTCTAGAGTTTATATATCCATCAGACAATATAAAATATCATGATATTTAGAAAAAAGATTCATTTACTAAACACCAGTTTTAAGTAACAATACCAATATACTTAATTAATAATATAATAATCTCAAAGAATAACATTATAATATGTAACATTGATATATTTATAACTTCTTTAAACTTAAATGGAAAATGATTTATTTTTTTTGCCATTTTTTCTTAAACAACGACTTGTAGCTAAAGGATAACATTGATATACAGGTATTTAGACCAGGTTTGATGTGATGAAACAGTCTTTCATTATACCAACACAACATGCCATACCGGTGCTGTGTTTTTCTTTTTCATCCTTCAGTACTATTGATATGTATGAAACAGACTGGCAACCTATATCCCACGATGTTACAGGTTCAATGTTTAACAATTCTACTTGAGTTTTCATGAAAACTTGTAATTTTTGAAGTTTCTTGCATTTGTATTGCTCCACCAAAGGAAGACTGAAAGGTTGGTTTAAATTTGACCAATATTTCAAAAAATTGTTAAAGAAAAAAAAGAAAAGAAAAAAGCTTTACAATGAAGGTCAGTTGATCTATAACGGATAAAAAAATGGCTTGACAATAAATTGCAAATAATGTTTATTTTCCATTTCATGGAATAAGATCACAGAAATTGAGACCCATGAGAACACAGGACTTTAATTAAGATAGATAAGAATGTAGACTGAAATAGAATAGGGCGAAGTGTGTTGCACTCTTTAACACTGACCTTCCTTGTCAAGGGGTTGGTTAGCAACTTATCAATGCATGAAATCTTTAAAACTACTCTTTAAACAAAATCTCCTATCCAAACTGGTTGGCTGTTATAAAGAGTGTGACTCTTAGTGCTTATGCCCTTGTTCCCAAAAGAGTTAAAACATGTCATGCTTTATATATATAAATATATATAAAATATATATATATATCATACGACAAATCCTGTTAGGATATTGTATAGATCTAATGGCTTTAGTCGGTCACATAGTAGCTTGTACATATAGATGTATTTAAAACACTAAACCATGTTAATAGCAACACAATATTCAGCCTTATTCATGTACAGTTGTATATTAATGTAGCGTCAGTAATGGAGTCCTGCATATATATATATATGTAAATGTTTTGTACATAGTTATCAGCTATTGTTGACAAGTGAATTTGCCAAAAACCCTATGTTTTTCCTTTTTAATTGATCAATGACTTTGGAGTGAAATCGAGATGAGCGGCGTGACCAGACACCCGGAGTTACTGCGAGATCCTCTGTACCTGTTACACATAATTATCGGTGTGCTTACGGTACGTTTGATAACCGCGTTATTGAGTTCAGTGCTGTGAGCGCTTTTCTTGCCGAGGGTCACCATTTCCACACCCCTTACAATCAGTGTATGTTGTTTTTTGTAGACAGATATAAATTGTATAATGTTGAAGTGACCAGATTTGCAGACATTCATGTCAAAAGTGTTTTGCTACATTAGTTGTACAAGACTTGATTTGTGATAGAAACAAAGTTTAAATTTTATGTATTTGGTACCTGACCTACCGATTTCACTAGGAGTTATTTTTTTGGCAATATAAAAGAAAGCTATTCGAAAGAGTTTTTTCCAGGAAATCTGGCACGCTGGCATACAAAGTCAACTTGGAGTATATGTTTATAATTGTGTTATGCAGAAGACTTGTTGTTCCAATATGATGTGTCTCTGTTGTTGGAATCAATTAAGCACATTTTCATGTCATATTGATGTGTCACCAATGATATACTGCCAAAATATGGGAGTTCCCATCCAGCCAATCATTACTATGTTAAGGGGGAAACACCATGGGACCTACCTGTATCTCGTGTATCCATTCACTTAGGTTTGTCAAGTCTTTCATTTGTGGTAGAAGATAAAACATTAGCCAAAACTTGTTGATTTGAACATATCTAATTACGTGTTATTTGATTTGATGACCTTAAAGGTCTGGTAATTTTCTCGGAAAACACCTTGACAGTAGTTTCATGTTGATATACACATATACCAGTAGCAAGATGTTACATGTTGTTATACATTATCATTCACAACTGATTGTCACAAATTATGCCCATGAAGGTGTCACAATCCCTCTCGCAGTAACTCCTGGGTAGGGTTACTAGTGTGTGCACAGGAGTCTAGCAGTTAATGCCTGATGTGAGAGTGGTGTTTCTGCTGGAGATCTTGCAAGTAAATACCTGATGTGAGAGTGGTGTTTCTGCTGGAGATCTTAGCAGTAAAAACCTGATGTGAGAGTGGTGTTTCTGCTGGAGATCTTACAAGTAAATACCTGATGTGAGAGTGGTGTTTCTGCTGGAGATCTTAGCAGTAAATACCTGATGTAAGAGTGGTGTTTCTGCTGGAGATCTTAGCAGTAAATACCTGATGTGAGAGTGGTGTTTGCACTGAAGATAAATACCTGGTGTGTGTGTGAGAGAGAGAGGGAGAGGGAGAAAGAGAGAAAGAGAGAGAGAGTGTGTTTGGTGTTTCCACAAGGCATGTTAATTACAGTTAATCCTTCAATGTTTGATGCATGTCTCATGACGAACAAAGACCATGTTATTTTTGTCTCCCATAATTTTTCTCATAAACTTTCGTTGAAGTGAGCCGCTATCAGGATCACAAGCATTTAAGGTTTTGAATTGTACATGTGAACATTTCCATATATTCAAGGGTGATTCACAAAGTCCCCCAACACAATGTGATTCATTTGATGTTGTATTACTTAGAAAAGATGGAATGAAGTAACTATGATTATGCAATATGAAATATAATACACACTGCTGTTGAAAAAAGCTGTGGTCACCAGTAAAATTACCCATACTTCCCTGAAATTTTGATTTTAAATTTGTTATTTTCACAATATTTGAAATTATATTGACAAAGAGAATTTCGCAAAAGACAATAGAATCATGATTCAACTTGAAATTTAAATGCAAGATATCTGACTGTTAGATACCGTTAATACGATAAGGTCTGTGCATCATGAAGAAAAAGGCAGACTTGATGGCAAATCTGGTAGTTATCTTGCAATTTGCTATACATTTTATAACCTGTTTTGGTTTGTGAATGATGAGAGATTTTTTTAATATTTTACTTTCTCAGAATTTTTTTAATCCTTTTGATTCCTTCATTTTACCTAAATGTTACGTTGATATTGAGTCAGTATTATGAAACAAGTGATCGTTTGTTACTGTTATTTTGTATAGTAAAGCTTGAAGGTCTTTCAAAAACATAATCTTTGAAAAATGTTGGAAGTATCTTAAGATAATTTCAGGTTATGATAAGTATGGTATCTTTTTAGTTAATTTTTTTTTTTCTTTTTTTTTTTCCAACATGACTTACAGCAACACAAGGCATTATTATATTGATCTTGTGTTTTATATTCCTGACATTGTGATGTGACAGGTATTTAGCACTCGGTGCAAGGGGAGTAATGGTAGTGGTAGAATACATTCCATTTGACTTGGAAATGCACACACAAATCACACAATTTTACATCTACATACTGCTACATGTATAAGTGAGTCTGAACATCAGCAGTGCGATGCGTGGCAAGTTCACTCATGAAGAACTGCCTTTTAATTAATTGTTAATTAATGGATGATTAATTGACTTGTGATATGGTTGAGGAGGAGACGAAGTCGCTTGTGCCTTTGGTTTGCTTGCTGAATGTTTTGGTTGGCGTCCTGCCCGTTGAAGACTTGATGATAATGTTAGTCGAGGTATTTATGTCCTTTTAGTGCGTAAACGGAGTTAAATTCTTAATTTTTACATTTTTCGTGCTAACCTAATACTTAATCAGGAAATTAAGAATTTACTTCAAGAGCTGTCCTGTACATGGTTAATATATAGTTCTTGGGTCTACAGGAGGCCAGGGGTGTGACCTCATACATTTTGTGTATCCTTGTCCACATTCCACTATGAAGTCTTTAACCTTCCAAATAGATTCAAAATATTCCTTTTCTTGATTTGAACAAATCTACAAACAGGTAAAATGTAATCTGTCGCATGATAGCAAAGAAGAAAAATAAAGATGACAAATACATCTATTGATTTCTTCAGCAGACAAATGTCCTTAAAATCTAGATCTGTTTAAATCAGTAGTTAATAGGAAATTAAGAAGCAGCTAACTAGGTTTAGGCAGGTGTCCCTGTGTTGTAGGCTAGATTTGGGTAACATCAGATGGAGGACTACAGTGCTGTAGACTGACCGCGGGTAGATAGATGACCGACAGTGCTGTAGGCTAATTGTTGAAAAACAGATGGAAATACTGTAGTCGGAAAGTGGTAAGAGATACTTTGGTGCTGTAGGCCGACCCTGGGTACATAGACTACAGTGTTGTAGGCAGACAGTGGGTAGATAGACTACAGTACTGTAGGCAGACTCAAGGTAGATAGACTACAGTGTTGTAGGCAGACTCTACGTAGATAGACTACAGTTTTGTAGGTAAATCGACTTAGGACGAGTTGTTATGAAGCTGTCAAGCGAGGGGTCAAAAGTGATACTTTACTAATAGAAAAACAAAAGAAAACCTAATTACTTAAATTACTCTATGATTGTAAATTTTTATCTTGAAGATTTTAATTATGCAAGAATATGAACTGATTGATGAGCACTATTTGCATATCATTTGTATATCTCCACGTTAGCTTTTATTGTCATTGTTTGAATGTTATTATTTTTTTCAGGAATCAAAACATTTCTTCCACAGAAATGAAGTATAAACGTGCAATGATTTTTTCTCCCCTTATTATTATTGTTATTATAGACAAATGTGTTAACCTACCACACTAGTTGTAGCCTACAGTGTAAGGACTTGTATCATTGTATCCCGTGTATAGAGCCCGTTATTTACCCCGTATTACCACTGAGTTTTATAAACTACGATGTATGTGTGAGTGTCGGTGTGCATGTACAGTTTTGTATGCAATGTAGTGTTATTATTACTTTTTTTTGGTGAAATCTTAATTTGTTTTTTTGCCGAAAATTTCTGTGCGGATTTTAGGTGTGGGCAGCCACCTTGTAGATACAGCCGATGGTATTTCGCTTTGGAGTTGTATAGCCCAAGGAAGGTTTATTATTATTATTGCAAAGTTCCCACCACTAATACATACAGATCTGTACGGAGAGCTTAGCCAATTATTACGATTATTATTGTATAGTTTTATAACACAAATCAGTAACATGTAAGTGCAAGAAATGGTAAAATAAAACCGCAAAAATAATAAAATTACATAAATTCTTCTATACAGATTTGGTGTTGTTATTTTGTCTTCTTGAAGGATGTCCCTATGAATGGACCTTTGGTTTCGGTCACTACTTTCGCAATGGGTTGGGGGGGAAATCTCGGATTATGTCATATGACCTACTGTCTAAACAGGATAGCCCTGATAATACATTTGTAGCTGACCTGCATCATTTAAAAATATATATATATATACTTTATTTATTTTACAACAATTATGAAACAAGTTATTTCAACATATATTAATCACTCATGATGGCCAGGTTGCAAGCACATAAGGTTTTTTAAGAACCACAAAAGTCGAGATTGTAATGTTTGGCCTATAAACTGCTGCTTTTAAAGGCTAACAACTTGTTCAAGCACATAATTTTGATGCACAATCAGCAATTGCCTACCTTTGAGCAATACAGACCCTTTTGGCCACACATAGGGGGTTTAAACATGTAATGGTAGATAACTTGGGAACTTTATTTTCAATTTAGTTCTTTTCTGTTTTGCAATTTTTCATTTTTTATGTGTAAGCTTGGTTACCTTCCTTGCATTGTTAATCTCCATGTGGACAGTATTCTGTCAATTTCTGAAAATGTTTTTTTAGGTATCCTTAAGTGATAAGTGAAAAAAAGATATACAGTATAAAGATCATGAAACATGAGAAATCCAACATTATGTTAAAGGAGCTATTTAGTCAAATGACAACCTGAAAATAGAGTTGATACTCCAAATATATATCGCCTAACGAAAGTCTACGTAGTTAATAATGACATGACCTGGAACTAACGTCCAGTGTGGTCAGTTTCATCTTTTGAGAAGGCCGTGATAAAAATAGTTTTTATACGCCCAAAACTGCGCAATATCCGGGCCTTTCAGTATAAGTAAGCGTGTACAGCACTACACTATTGACCTACAACACCCATGTCAGTTATGAGTCTTGAGTTCACACGTAACACATTCTTGAATTTGCAGAAGTAAGAACTATGAGAATCATTATATATACCTCCAATCAGATATTTCTGTTCACATTTTGATTTGAATAAAAATGAACAGGTTCAATTAGACCATGGTGCCGCAGAGAGATTTCAAACCGCAGTTGCACAGATTTCATTCTTCTTTGTTATTGATGTAGTTCCATCAGAATCTGGTCTTATCTGACAAAGTTACCGGGCAAAACCCATTGACCAATTGGTACCGGTAGTATGCTAATTGATTATGCATGGATTTTGCTCAACTTCAAACATTGACCAGACTATGTATACACTTTTGTACTTTGCGCATCAGTCTGTGTATATCGCATATACATATCCCAAGGTTCATTAACATTGATCAATATTTAAGGATGTGATCTTGCAGAAACGAAATTGTGGACAGACAAACAGACAACTAATCCCCATACCTAACATATCTGTCAAATCTTTTGAAAAAACATATGAATACAGTGTACACATATTCACTGCCGTGAACATTATTTTGCATTGGAGCAAATAAAGATAAAAAAAAAAACACTAATACAATCTGATACATTTTATGTGTCAATATTGAATAAGATGAACACAATATAAACACATACCCACACACACAAGATTAAGAGAATAACATGTTTTTTTTTGTTTTTTTGTTATCTTTCATTGTATAAATTCTTCACAAAAATAAAAATGTATAACATATATTAAGCTTTATCATCTATATAGGCCGGTGTTTGAAATACAAAGTACATATTAATTTCGAATACATTTTAAAAGAGTACCCCATATGTGCCAGAGCATTATGGTCAACATTATGGTTGGTTTCAGGACTGATAGCATGGTGCAACAAATGCTGACAACAAGACTTATTGAAAGTTTAGGAAACCATATGGTCCGATAACAATAATAAAAAAAAGTCGGACATAGAAGCTACGGTTCCCGCAGCTGGCGTAGCTGTAGCCTTCACCTTGAATGTATGAACACCAAGTTACATAAAACTGCTGTTTTTTTCCTTCAAATTTATTGATTATAATTGAGCATAAGCATTGTTAAAAGTACAATGTATGCCAGGGAATCTAATATTTCTTTTGCTGCTTAACATTTGCATTGATATTTAATTCACTGGCATAAAACCAGTAGGAAGCCATATGGCCAGTGTTTCTATCTTTTAAAAATAAATTCTAATGTTTCTCAAATTTGCTCCCAACGCCCATGGTGTGTTACATTGATCAACACAAACATAGTTTTCTGACATTAGTGCCTTTAGTCAGTAGGAGCTGTTCAATCAGATTCAATCAGTCCCACCTAAAGATCACAGATTTTCTCCATTAAGGATTGTTTTTTCGAGGAAAGCAAACTGTTATCTGTTGGAAGTGTCTGTGGACTCATCTGTCATGAGTCTGAGAGAAAATGATTTGGCCTTGTTAATTGAAGCCAGAGGTTCCTCCTGTATACAGTCACTGACAGATTTCACAATGTCATGTCACTGTTAGTACAGTTCTTGTAGCCTTTTGAAAAAGTTCATGAAGTCCTCAAAGGTATGAGAGAGTGGGTTCAGTTCCTATTTCTCATCCTCCTTCCTCCCATCAATAACCATAAAGGAGGCTTATCTATTAAATAAAACTTTACATGAAAATGGCACATATACCTGTTTTAGTTATGTTAATGATATGACATTAGACAATGATTTACATCAAATTGTACAGGGTACAGGATCCTGACGCATCGTACAGTAATTACCAATTTAAAATTAAAACCAAGCAAAATATATAAAAAAAGAAATCTGAGACAAGATTCTTTAATAAACTAAAAAAATTAAACGAGAGTAATAAATTATTCATGAATAAAGACTTAAAGATGGATTATGTCCCTGAAAAGTACCTTAACATTAACAGTAGTAATTTAAGGAACATGTTCACTTCATTTCGTTTATGTGAACACAAGTATACCAAGAGACCAGAAACTCTGTAAAAAATGTGTTAGGGAATGAAGTACACTTCTTTTTTATGTTTACTGTTCCCTTAATGAATCTGCCAGAAAAGAATATTTCCAAAAATGCATTCCTAATCACAATGACGTTACCTTAGATACCAATTATTTGACCTCAATATTATCTACAAACAACTCACAGTTTATACTGGACTCTTGCTTATTCATTAAACATCTGTCTCTAGAACTGAGGAGAGTGGGCTTGCTGACAGTATAAGATATGGACTTTGCAGCTAAAAATGTTTAAAAGCAAATTTTCTATTTGAAGCTATGTTAATTTTGTTCATGTTAATGTATACATATAAGCAATCGCTTTGCGACTTTTCTACATGTACATGTCTATGTGTGTATTCACTGTGTTTTACTATTTTGCCTTCAAACTTCTATGTAGTTACAAATGTGCAAATTCATTTTTCGAATTTGAAGTTGAATTTAATATCTTGAAAATATATTTGAATGTACAGGAGTTGTTCCTCTTCGCCCACATTCCAAACCATAGAAAAAGAAACTGATATTACATCCTTTGGCACATGATCACTTACTTCAGCCAATCAGAATGCATTAGACTAATTAACTATGTGCCGATTTTATTCAATTTAAAACTCACGATGAGCCTTTTAGTTTAAACTTTATTTTGTTATCGGTATAATATTCCAGATATACAAACATGATATACCAATCAAATTAAGATTATAATTATAATTTTAATTAGATTGCTTGTACCAGGGTGTTCCAATACAATATGGTATGTACAATTTGCATTGTGCACTTCATTAACAAATTATATAGTTCCGCGTATGAATAAGTGAAGCTTGAGTGTTCATATGGAGGTAAGTTTGGAGGCGCGAAGCCTATAAAAGGTCGACTCCTTCGTCATTCCGCCATAAATTGTAGCTGACAAAAAAAAAGAACTCAGACGTATAGCTAGTGGCACGGCTTTCGTCGCAAAATAATAAGTGTAGAAATAACACTCAACAGTTAACTGGATGGTCAAAATTTACAACAGAATGTATGTAAGGGTCACACTCTACAACAGGAGGTATATATTGGGTGTAAGGTCACCCTTTACAGCGTGAGGGTCACAATCTACAACAGGAGATAAGTAGAAGATGTAAGGTCACAATAGCAGTGTCAAAGTAAGGGAAAGAATAAGTAAAAAGCCAATCAATGATAAGAATGAAACCAAAGGCCAGGTGGTCATCCCGTATATAAAAGGTATGTCCGAAACCATACAGAGGATATATCGCGGTCATGGCATAGCAACAGCCATGAAGCCCCACAGGACGCTTCGTAATATCCTAGTTCACCCTAAGGATAAAACACCAAAAGAAAACGTCGCAGAATGCGTATACAAAATCGGATGCAAAAACTGCGACGATGCGTATATTGGAGAAACAAGAAGGCCATTTGGGGTCCGCATTGATGAACACAGGAAACATACGGAAACCCAAGGGGGAAAGAAATTCACCTGATCAGAAAGGAAGGAGTCGGAGTCCCAGATCAATAAATCGGCAATCACAGACCATGCCCCAAAGACAGATCATGTGATTGACTGGGATAACTCCAAGGTATTTGGACAGAGAGAGCAATCCGTTCAAGCGGCAGATAGAAAGTCATCTGGATACGCCGCAGTGGGCCAGTTCTGAATCGAGATGAGGGGCTCATAGACTTTTGCACATCCATGACCAAGTATTAAACAAAGCGCAGTTGAATCGAGTCATTTCGATACATATATAACAACTTATTTCAGCGTAGCCGAATTGACATCGATTTGATGGACAACTCGTATATATTTTACACCTTTGTGTGCATATGATCCACTGATCATTTGTCTGATGAGAGTAACAGAGTCCATACCATACTAGTCATCTAAACGTCACATATAAACATATTTCCCAAGGGAGGGCCCCATTCTAGAACAGAAAGGTTTTTTATAAGATAACGAGCTACACTAAACAACGAGAGGTCATCTGTTACGACGGGAGGTTCCTCTCTGAAACGGGAGGTTTATGTAAGGTGTGAAGGTCACACGCTACAACGGGAGGTATATGT